CCAGTTCAATAACCTTCATTACTCAAGGCGAAGGGGGCGTGCTTAGCTCCTGTTCAAAGAGGCTGCCAACACCTAATATTACTCAGGTACTGGGGGAAAAAAAATCACTTTGTTTCTTAGTCCTGCACATGCTGTCCCGGACTTAGCTAATGCCTTTTCCAGCATTCCCTTACAATCTGACGCCAGAGCCAATTTGTCTTCACTTGGGAGGAAGACAATGGACATTCCACATGGTCAACTATTTGTTATGATGTGGTGATTCAGGGTCACTCTGTTCTCATTCCCTGCTGATAGTGCCTGCTTCCATTTTATTGATAATATCATGCTAATGGTGAAGATGAAAATCTCTTAGAGGACAGAGTATAACACCTGTACTCATCTCCAGATTTAGGGCCCTGATCTGTCCGAGAAGTTCCTGGGGGTGGTCAGGTAGGATAAGACTCATTTGGTTTGGGGCATGGTAGAAGATAACGTGCAAACCTTCCAATTCCGCATATGGGAAGGAATGTAGAGGCTTTTGTGGGACTCCTGAGTTACTGGAAGCTTTCATTATTCAGATGCCCACACTCCCTGCACCAGTGGGTTAAAAAGGGAGCCACACAGGAGGGATTGGGATGCTCCTCAGCGAGAGGCACTTGTGAAAGCAAAGACTTGGACAGCCCAGGCACACTCTATCAGGCATGTCGAGGCAATTAGATGTCATCTACTCAGCAGATGGCTGGAGTTAGGGTCTCTGAAAAGAATAACTAGGACACAAGATTTTTGGTCACAGCTCTGGAAGGGAGCTGAAACTAGGTATCCCTCATTAGAAAAGGAATTTCTAGCAGTGTATACAGAGACTTACTACAGGTGGAGCCACTGACCAAGACTCTACCAGTCACAGTGAGAACTATCCTACCTACAAAGGTGGATGGATGGCCTTTTTAATCAGCCTCAATCTGTTATAGCACAGATCTCTAAATAAGTGGCATGTGTATCCTCATCATAATGTCCTCTCCAAAAGCTTATGAACTCTTTAGTGGTGGAGAGCATCAGGCTCAGTTACTTTTGAAACCACCTCCCCACTCCAGGTGGCCACCCAATGCATATGATCTCTTCAGTAGGGGATGGCCCATATCCAAAAATGCTTGCTGTACAGATGGATCCCGCAGCGGGAGACCATGTATCTGGACTACTGCAGGTGTAACCTGCTATGGATGCTGGTTTGAGTGTTAATACAAAATCACAGCAGCCAATGGGCCGAGCTCTCCGCTCGTAGCAACTGAGCCAAGGCTGCTGGTGATTTGTACTGAATGTTACTGATGTTCTTTGTCCTGTGAATTTAAAGAATGAGCTCCACAGACATGAAGGGTGAGTGATTTATTAAAGCAATAGAAAGAAAGCAGAGATCCCTCAGGAGAGAAGTCCCAAAGAGGATTGCCAACGGGTGGTTATTGTCTGGGGATTTATATGATAATTTTAGAGGGGAATTAGGCGGCCTCGAAGACTATAGGTTAGAGATTTTAAACAGCAGGTTTTTTCTCAGTCCAGTCACACCAGGGGACCTGGTGTTCATGCAGCCTTGTCTAATCAGGGTATTGATTATGTGCTATATATATTGCCTCATGGTTCCCGTGCATACCTTCAGGCCCCAATGGTCTACCCTATTTGTAAACATATGAGAAGGGGAACTTAATCCTGTCTGCCTAACACATTTCTGTCACTGAGGCCTTCCTTACATATGGGTGTCACAATGACAAATGATCTATATTGGGAAAGCCTCCCTGGGGAGCTATGAGCCACACGAATAAGGGCACAACTTGGTTAGTTTTCAGAAGTTAGCTTCTCAGAATATCCTAAACAAAACCATTTTGTAATCACTATGATTGCCCTTGAGCAAACTTAGTCAGGTTTCCCAGCATAGTATAAACAAAATCATTAAGAGTGGTTATGTGGAACCCTGGTGCCCTTGGTACCAGGAATGTGTCTAAGGTTTTTGATATTAACTTAAGATAGACCAGTGACTAGGAAGTCATGTTTGTCTTAACCACTTCAGTTAATTCTCAACAAGGCTATCCAAACCATCCAATAGTGATAGCCTTTTCAAGACATAGTGCCAGAACTAGATATTCATGTGCAAAAGAATGAACTTGAACCATATATAAAAATTATCCCCTAATGGATCAAAGAAAGCAAATTTTCATGACCTTGGAATGGGCAAAGGATCTGTAACTCCAACAAAACACAAACACTAAAATAAATTGAACCTTGTCAAAATTGTTTCTCCCAGTGGTGCAGGCCTGTAATCCCAGCTACTTGGGAGATAGTGAGATAAGAAGATCACAAGTTCAAGGCCAAGCCTTAGCAACTTTATCAAGACTGTTTCAAAAAATAAGAGTGGCAATGTACCCTAGTGGTTCAATCCTTAGTACCAGGAAAGCTTTTGCTTCCATGGGCAACACCAAAAATGTGGGAAAAATAAAAATACAACAAATCATCTATCTGATAAAGAAATGCATCCAGAATCTATAAAGGTCAGTTCATAAGAGAGCCAGGTGTGGGAGCATATCCTTATTTTCCCAGCTACTCGGAAGGTTCAGGCAGGAGGATCATGTGAGCCCAGCATAGCGGGCAACACAGACCTGTCAGAATGAGTTAATGAATAAATAAGTGAATGAAAATAGATAATCCAATAAAAAATGAGCAAAGTCTCTCTGAATAGACAATTTTCCCGAGAATGATAAATAGGCATTAAAAACATAGAAAAAATGCTTGGAATAACTGGTCACTAGGGAAATACAAATAAAAATCATGGAATGCATGCCATTTCACATTGACTTGGATGAATATAATCAAAAAGATACCAAGTAATGGCAAAAAGGTGAAGAAATGGAACCCTCATGCACAACTGGTGGGAATGTAAAAGGATGCAGCTGCTTTGGAAAACAACCAGGCATTGATTATTCGATGGCACAGCATAAAACCAAGAGAAATGAAAACACACATCCACACATAAAGTTACTGAAAGATTCCTTAGAGGACTATTTCCAATAGCCAAAAGGTGAAAATAATTGAGAGTATCAACTGATAAAATGGATAAGCAAAATTTGATATATCTATGACAAAATACTGTTTTTATAAAGAATGTAAATTTGAGCTGGGTATGGTAGCCCACACCTTTATTTCCAGCTCTACAGGAGGCTGAAATCAGAAGTTAAGATCAGTCTGTGCAACTTAGCAAGACCTCATCTCCAAAGTGAGGCATCCAGTCACAAAAATATCCAGCACAAAGAAATTGACAGAGGCTGGGTGCGGTTGGCACACTCCTGTAATCCCAGTGGCTTGGGAGGCTGAGGCAGGAAGATCAGGAGTTCAAAACCAGCCTCAGCAATGGTGAGGTGTTAAGCAACTCAATGAGACCCTGTCTGTAAATACAAAATAGGGCTGGGGATGTGGCTCAGTGGTGGAGTGCCCCTGAGTTCAATCCCCAGTACCAAAAAAAAAGAAAAAAAGAAAAAAGAAAGAAATTGATAGGAAGAGTAGATTAGTAGTTGTTTATGGGTGGGGAAATAGAATATTTATGGGTTGTCCAAAAAGAACCTTTATTATAGGCGATGAAATGTTCTAAAACTGTAGTGATGGTTGCATATTATCTGACTATACTAAAAATCTTGAATTGCCAGAGCAAATTGCATTACTCAATAAGAGTTTGAAAGATGGCATCTCGAAGTTGGTTCTCGGATTTCCTAATGAAGACTAGATATGGAATTAAAGTTGGGCAGTATATGCTACCAGGCCTTATAACCTGTAAAATGGAATTTTTACATAACTGGAAGGTTTTGAGCAAGGAGTTACAAGACACTGACTTTCAGATTTTCTTATTGCTAGGTAAAGAACAACCTGGGAGTACCAAGATCATGTAGGAGGTATTGCAGTTGTTAAAGTGTGAGACTTACCTACTCCCTCTCCTATAAATCCTTTTCATTAGTTATTTAAAATCTCCAAGTGGTTACTGTAGCAATATTAGAGGCCAGTGAGAAAAGTGCCTTCAGAATTGCTTTAAGTAGCTTAGAAAAATGGCCCCCCTCCCTTCTGGGGGAAAAGGAATGGCATTTAAATTTACTGGTCATTAATTCTTTGGCATGGTTTGATCAGTTGTCAAGAAACCATGCTACTTCAGAAGCTGTCAATAGTTGTTACACTTAATGTAATCTGATTATATCACTGCTTGGCTACTGAAATATTTTCTGCAACATGGATGAATGTAAAGGTAAGTTATAGAAGTGGGCAAGACCCCATCACATCAAAGGTAAGCATGACATAGTATCCCCATCAGAAAGTTTCTGTAAAGCCTTTGTGTGTTGTATCACTGTCTGTATCCAAATTTTATTTATTCTTTATAGTCATCTCAAATGTTTCTATTCAATATCTAGGAAGCCTTTTAAGATCTGTCCAGGCAAAATTCGCTAGACCTAATCTTTTTCTGGGTATATTATTTCTTTACTATTATGACAGTAAGTATCTTACTGAATCAGATTATTTAGTAAATTTACTTATATTAGACTTAAACTGAAAGCTGCTAGAGAATAAAGGATTTTCCTTTGTGTTCTCAGTTTCTAGTGGTGTTTGATCCTCAGCAGCTTATTAAAAAGTTTACCGAGTGGGTCAGTTCAGAATTACCTTAGAACTTAACCAATGCATTGATACAGATATATGGTTGCTATATATGGTTTCTATAGAGTATAACTGATGAACTACCCTAAAAATGTTGTTAGCAGTGTTTTGGTGAAAAGCAATATAAAAATACATTTATGCATAAATTCATTATAACAGAGTTCATTTAGAATTGGCAATTTGTGTAAAATCTTTTATGGGGGGAGTACATTTATTAAAAACAGTATAATATGGTTATGTTTACCAAATTGCATTGGTTTAAAAAATATTACCTTGACAGTATATCTTTTTATCAATTTTTTTATTGTGCTACTTGTGCAAAGGAATAAAATTAAGTGCTTACTAAATCATATTTAGATCTTTATTAACAAATTCATTTAAATAAGTTTAATATTTCATAAATGACAAGCAGCTTAAATATAAGTTTTGTAATTATCATTAAAAAATTAATAAAATCAAAATCAGTTAAATTTTCAAAAAGGCAATGTGACATTTACCACTAACCTGACTAAATGGCCGCACTCGTACTGCTACTATCACACGGTCGCTACTTGGCAGAGGCATTTTCATCATTTTCTCATTGTCCATACTGTTATTTGGTAGAAAAATAATGTAGAAAAGCCACACTGCTATGCTTCATACTAAAACATTAAAAGCTTAGCTGACAAAGGCAGTTTGTTTCCAGATCATCAATTATTAATGGTCCATTCATTACATACTATCAATTACCTACTATAAATTATTTTACAACACTTATTTATTGATGAAATTTATGGCCTGCATCAAGTATCATCACTTCATTGCACAAAGTCTTACTGCAGAAAAAGGGGTGCTTTCATTTTTTCTTGTTCTTTATCTACTCATCTCTTCCCATTCTCAATCTGTGCCTGAGATCCTATGATAATTTGCCAGTTTTAAATCCTGAATATTAAGGGAATTCTGTGATTCAGTAAGTTTCTTTATAGCAAGAATATTATAAAATGTATCCAAACTTCTCCCCGTATCAATATTAGGCACACACAAGGTGTACTAAATATTGGTAAAAGATTTATTTTACATTTTCTTCTCAAATCTTTTCATGAGGTTGCTAATAAGCAGTGAACCGGTCAATCTAACCTGGGTAATAAGTCTCTGAATTAAGAGACATTAAAGATAAATAGCCTTAAGCTTGCTGAACAAGAAATGCCAACATTATAGTTAACCACAATGCATTACTTGGAAAACTACTCATTTGAGGTAGGTAGATTACACAAAATTTGTGAAACTACAAAAAGGCAGCAAAATTACATGCCCATAATTCAATTTCAGCATAGTAACAGGCAAAACCAAATAAAAGTACACATTATGATTAGAAATCTTAATCACAAAATCAAAGTGCATAAGTTAGAAAATAACAACTTTAAAAAATAATAGTTCAATCACCCTCATTTTAAGATTGGTCTAGTATTTTAACTATAGAGAGAAAAATGGGACAAATGCCTACTAGCATATAAAAATCATTAAGACAAAAATTCCCTTTCAAAAATCTAACAGACACAAACTACTGTTAAGTATACATTTTATTTAACATTCCAATAAGAAGCCATATTTACATATTATATAAATGTATGAAGTCTTAATATAAAATAGAAAAAACACCTGAACTAAAAGAATCACACTCCGTATGGAGTTACTTTACTTACTAAAGACATTCTATTTACAAAAATTTACAGTAGTTTATATAAATTATTTTCTTCCAAATTGGATAATTTTTAATAATCCACACAATTTTGATGACTTTACAAACAGGTGTACATTAGAATCTTGGAAAAAAATTATAGCATTTTTCTGCGTAAAACTTGCTTTGGAAAGGAGGATGGTTTCTTTCTGCCCCTTCCAAGAGTTTTTCCTTTAACTTCTGCAGTTTTTCTTGGTTTGCTCTTTACTTCTTCAATTGGGCTTGCCAAAGGAGAAATCAGCCTAATTTTTACTGGAGGAGGTGACCAAGAACTTTCTTCTTCTGTATTTCTGAAAGAAAGAATAAATTAAGAATAAATGCATGAAGTAACAAAAATAACTGGTTTCTCATCACTCAAAGATAGCTAACCAAATGCTTTCATTTTCCAAGAAAGGTAATGGATTCAAGAGAAAGTGAAGTACAGCTTTAAAAGTCATGTAAGATAATTAGAGGCAGAGTTAAGGTTGTACTTTTATTTTAAAACTATCACTGCTAAATTTTTCCTTAATTTTTCACATGCATTAATAAATACTGCTGGGTTACAAGGATAAGTGAACCAAGTCTTAGAAGTCATCTGTAGGATGAGGGCCTAGCAGGCCCAGACAGCCTATGAGAGAAAGCAGTTCTTAAACACCAGCAACTGGCAAATGTATGTATAATTTCGCAAACATGAAGGAGTTTGTCAAGTATGTTCAAAGCACATTTACAAGTAAATAATGTTATTGATTATAGTCTCATTAAATCAGTTTTGAAAGAAAATGAATTGACACCTTTAATGAATCTGAAATGGAGTAATTTCCCCACAGATGTAGTTTTTTTTTTATTGTTAGTGAAATAATGGCAGGATTTAAAAGTTTACAATTATTTACTAATACTAAAAATATCTTTACTAGTGGAAAGGTGAACCATCCACTTCCTTCCCAATCCACTACAAAAAGGAAGAACAACTGAGAACTAAACTACCTCCATCACCTTTATTATTTTTTAAAAAATATTTATTATTTTTTTAGTTAAAGGTATACACAATCTTATTTTTATATGGTGCTGAGGACTGAATCCAATGCCTCACGCATACTAGGCAAATGCTCTTCCTCTGGGCCACAACCTCAGCCCCATCACCCTTCTTTAAAAAGTGTGAAGACTTTTGTGGAGATCACTTGTTCAACAGCAAAATCAGTCGATGCTAGAAATGACCATAATAAGAATTTGCCTTTTTTGCCATGTTGGGAATCAAATCCAGAGCATTTTGTCCATTAGTGCTCTACCACTGAGCTACATTCCCCAGTCATAATTTCCCTTTTAGTTTATTTTTAAGATTTTTTTTTTAGTTGTAGATGGACGCAATACCTTTATTTATTTATATGGTGCTAAGGATTGAGGGCCTTACAACATGCTAGGCAAGTAATAATTTCCCCTTTTAAATAAGACTTTTCTTAGCTGTAACTTGAAGAAACAAATGGTTAGATATTATAGAATGGAAAGTCATACTTACTTGTTTGCTTGTTTTCTTTTTGCAATCCTGATTCTTTTCACTTTTTGCTCTACCATAGTTTCTCCTGATTTAGTATCATCTTCCTATGGGTTGAAATTTTACAGAGATAAATCCTAAGTAATTAAACATTTGAAATCTAAACAGTTTTTTATCAAAGAGTCAAAGAACATAGCCAAACACTGCAAATAAATTCAAATTTATCCAGTCCAAAACTGACTCCTTCTGTTCTTCAGTAGAAACTCTGGCTAAGATTGCTGCTCTTTATTCCTCACTCCCAAGTCAACTATGCTCCAAATTTTCTTTTCAATGTTTCTATTTCCAGTGGAAACTGACAATTGCCCTTCCTACTGCTTAGGTCCCCAAATCCAGGATCTTCATCTTTTAGGGATTAGGCTGCCAACAATTTTTTTTCCTGCCTAGAATTCATCTTTCACAAAAATGATCTAATATACAAACATGACTATTGTGAACGAATGTTCCCAGCCTACCCACCCCTGCCATGCATTCTGTACATCTTCTGTCTTCTTGGTCCAGGAATGCCTGTCTCTTCTGCCCTCAGTCTACAGAGATACTTGGGTATAAATGATTCTTTTTTTTAATATTTATTTTTAGTTGGAAACAATATCTATCTATCTATCCATCCATCCATCCATCCACCCGTCCATCCATCTATGTGGTGCTGAGGATTGAACACAGGGCCTCGCACACGATAGGCGAGCACTCTATCGCTGAGCCACAATCCCAGCCCTGCATAAATGATTCTGATCAAGCAATGAAATACTTATTGTTTTTGCCTCTTCAACTGTATATTTCATTCAACTGTGAGCTGAGTTATTTTTGTGTAATAACCAATTAATGGCAGATAATTCAATAAATGTCTATAAATTAACATTCATATATATAAAGGAATCACAATCCCTAAAGAATTTCCACTCTAGGGTAATGTGTAACTATGCCATTGAATTAACTCTGAAATAAATTCTTTAATGACACATTAGGGGCTCAAGGACCTATATCATAGGTAAACAAACCCAAATAATTCTGATGACCTCCCAAAAGGTAATTTAAATTACAGCTGCCAGTAAGTAATATATTATCAGCAACATCAAAGATCTGTCTTAAAAGTAGGATCTTCAAGAGTAGAGACATGATGGTTTCGGGTTTTTACCAACAATGGCTGCTACCTTTAAAATATTTTAAAAATAAAAAGTATGTTTAAACAAACACACAAAATCCTATATTCCTTACCAGTTCATCTACAAGCTTGGATGCACTGGATGTATTCTTTCGTCTGGTCCTCAAAGCAGGAGGTGAGAATACAAACTGAGAAGATAAGTCTGAAACTAATTCTTTCAACTGTGCAGGAGCCTCTATTTTTGCAGCTAAAGAAAAGTTGGGGGGAAAAAATGTATCTGTATGTATCCAACAAGAAGCTTAGAACAAATGATGCACATTACAAAGATGCAAACATCCCAAAATAGAGAACACAGGTAGGTACCCCTTAATGACCAAGTTAGGACAAGAAAAATCATGAGGGATAGGGTATGGGGAGAATCTCAGTATCATTTAGGTAAAACAAATGTTTACCTTTATTTAAAAAATCAACTAAATAATGTTATAATAAAAATATGACATAAAAGGCAGGTACAAAATTGCGTAATCCATTAGTTTTTTAATTAAAAAGAATTTTTTTTTTTTTTTTTTTTACTTGTGATAGCAGGATCAAACCCAATGCCTCACACATGCTAGACAAGTGCTCTGCCACTAAGATACAGCCCAGCCCAACCCCAGCCCCAATCTGTTAGTTTTAATCCTTTCTGCTTCTGGAATCATCTTCTCAGAAACTTCCCCAACTACTTCAAAGCAGTAAGGAAACAAAGTTTAATATCATGTACAAAAATATTCAGCCTTTATCTACTGGTTCCTTCCACATATTCTCATAGATCAGACTTTACTATTTTCTTTCTATCTAATCTAATCCAATCTATTCTAATCTATTTTTGGGGTACTGGGGTCTGAACTTGGGGGCACTCAATCACTGAGCCACATCCCAGCCCTATTTTGTATTTTTATTTAGAAACAGGATCTCACTGAGTACCACTCACTTTTGCTGAGGCTGGCTTTGAACTCTTGTTCTTCCTGCCTCAAGCTCCTGAGCCACTGAGATTATAGGTATGCACCACTATGCCTGGCTACAAATCATTTTGAGGACAAATTGTCAATTATATGGGAAAGTTGCTTTCCTGGGCTTATGACGAATATGTGACTGCAAAATTACAATGCATTTTAAAGTTTCATCAGCATAGTAAATACTGGAGATATAAAAAGGGCTGGGAATGTAGTATAAAGGTAAACCACTTGCCTATCATGTGCAAGGTCATGGGTTTGATACCCAGTACCTGGGGTGGGGAGGGGGATAGTGTTTGTGGATATCATTGGGACATAAAGCCAATGGCCTCAGTTCTTCAATTTAAAGAGCTGATTCTATTTGGAGAGAAATCAAAATTAAGTCATTGGGATATAAGGACAGAATAAAGAGAAACACTATTCTAATGCTATTTCGAAGAAATAAACACTATAAGCTGGGTACGGAGGTGCACACCTGTAATCCCAGTGAGCCTCAGCAATTTAGCAAGTCCCTAAGCAACTCAGCCAGATCCTGCTGCTAGTAAATATTAAAAAGGCCTGGAGATGTGGCTTGGTGGTTAAATGTCCCTGGGTTTAATCCCTAGTACCACCCCTCCCCCGCCAAAAAGAAAGAAAAATACTATTGTCAGGTAAGTTATAGGATTAAAAAAAGAAAGGAAAAAAAAGAAAAAAGCATACTAAATCATACAGAATCCTTGAAATTTCAAAACAAATTTGGAAACATGAAATCTTTGCTTTAAGCCAAATCAAACCACATAGTGCTTTTAAACAAATTTTAGGTTGAAGATTCTGCATGATATATAAAATATGAATAAAAATAAAAGTACCTTTCACTTTCCTTGGTACCTCTGCTGCAGGAGGAGAAAATAAAGGCTCATTTTTTGGTTCAGAAAGATCTGGTAACAAGATGGCCTTGCTAGACCTGGTCCTTGTACTACGAGAAGATTTAGCAAAAGTTGAGGTGGCAAGTAATCTTTCTTCTTGGTTATTTGGTTGTTTATGTGTCATTTCATCTGATACAGAGTGTAATGAACTTTTCTGACATTGATTTTCAGTCTTCTTGGTAAGTTTTTTCTTAGAGCTTGTCACCAAAACAAGTTCCTCATTTGGCACTAGAATGGTTTTTTCTAAAACTGGTTTTCCAACATCAATATTTTCATTTCTAGCTGAGGTATTCCTTGAAGATCTTCGGATGCTAAGAACTCTCTTCTTGGGACTTCTCTCTTCCTTAACAGTCTTAGATCCAACATTTTCTGATGGATTTATTTTCCTTGGTCTACCACGTTTCCTAGTTGTGGCAGGCAAATCAAATTCTGCTTGAACAATCAATTGGGAGGAATCAAGTTTAGACTCTTCTATCTTATCTGACATAGTAACTTGTTTCTCTCTGATCCTTCTACTACGTTTAATAGGCAGTTGGTCATTGGATTTCCCCTCTTGCATATTTTCAGAGGCTTCTGTATTAGCATTTCTCAGCTTTTTCTTGACAGTCTTGCTAGGACTTGCTACTTTACTAACATTAATTTCAACACTTTCCTGATTTTCTATAGATTTTTTAGTTTTTCTAAGAGTCCTTTTTGTAACAGATGAAAGCTTAACTTCTTTTCTAAAAGAAATTTCTTCAGTTGCTGGTTCCAAAAGCTGAGGTGACTTTAACCTTTTTAGTTCCCTACCTGAAGTAACCTGCAATTCTTGTTCCACAGAATCAATATTATCTAATGTATCTTGATTAGTTTCTTTTTTCTTCCTTCCTCTCCTAATAGAATTTTGAGGTATTTGCTGATTCTGAGATTTTCCTTTGATATCAGAATAGGCACTTTCAGAAACCTCAGAAATATCTTTTGCTTTTCTAGTTTTCTTTATAGATTGTGGCCCTAGCATCTTGGGAGTAGCAAAATCTGCTGACTCTTGCCCTGCTGTAGTGATACTCAGGTTTTGGACTCTCTTTCTCATGCGTGTTCTAGAGGAAACCATGTCATCACCCTGGCTAACATTTATAGTCATGGTACTTGTTTCCTGAAAAGTCTTTATCACAGGTTTGACTAATTTGGTAGAACACATTACCTTCTGGCTTATTAAAGGTATGCTTTCATGAACAGACTGTTCCATTACATCTGAAGTAATTTCTTTACTTCTCGTATCTTTAATCACACCTAATAAATTTTCTGCAATTGCTACTTTAATGGGTTCAGGCACATATGGTAAAGTCTCTACCTTTTGGGATTCTTGATCACTAGTTATGATAGATGGAAAATCTGCAACATGTCCATGATCATCATGTTCCACACTGTATACAAGTTTTTCCTTGGATGCTATGTTAGTTGCTTTAGGTAACACATTAGGTGTTGCAGAATCACCTGTCTCAACTTCTCCTTCTTCACCTTCCAATATCAAGGTAAAGTTGCTCTGGGCCACAAAAAGTTCCCCATCTACTTCAGCAATGTCACATTCAGCAGAGTCTTTATTATCAGGTAAGTCACAAAACTGTTGCTCAATAGTATCAAAATTATATTGAAGCTTAAGAGTTCCTGAGGGATATAACTCGTTAAATGAAAGATTTCTGGCCTCTTCTCCTGAATTTTGAACTTCAAGCTTTTCATGTCCAATTACCTAAAATGAATTAAAGATAAGAGACCAGTTAAAAAATTTAAAAATCTATTTTAGCCTAAAGCACAAAGGTTTTTAATGACCATTTACTTTTGGTGTATGCATTTTTTCAAAATAATGCTACATTTGACATTTGGCACATACTATAAGGTTTACTTTATATATATTCATTTAAAAATTCAGGCCTAAATGAGAATTCAGTCAAAAACAACTATATTCAGAGACTATGACTGTAATTAAACTAGAAATTCCACATTTCCCTAGCTATGACAGTATAAACAAAAAATTGAAAATTATTATGAGACTATTATGAAAATTAAGGATTTTTTCTACTCTTACTCAACAGAAAACCCCCAAACTATATTTTAATGAAAATCCCCAAATTACCTAACTATCCACACTTTTCTAAACAGCATGATCCCCGTAAGGTTGAAGAACAATTCACCTACATAAGCTCCCTTGGGCTAGACTCAATCCTCTTCCCTTTGCTGGGGCTGCATAAACCATGAAATTCCTAAGGCTTTCAAGTTCAGTACCTCTCTTGCAAGGGTTTGGTGGAAGAAGGAATGGTCCTTGCATTTACCTTTTGGTAAGGGAAGGGGAGAAAAAGGAGGAGGTAGAGAGTAACAGAGAGATCTCCTGACCAAGAAGGTAGAACATTACCACCCACCTAGACAATGACATTTTCCCATTCCCCAAACATTGAGATGAGATTGGAAACAGCCTAAAAGTGAGGATTCCCATTTACACCATGCCCACATTTTTATTGTTTCACAACTAAAGGAATAGGGACTTTAGCCATCTATTTCACAGCACTCATAAAGATAAATATAGATACTCATAACACTTATACCCAAACTCCATACACATTTCTATACATAATTGAGTTTTTCCTCTTATCATATAAAAATGTGGTCAAATCATAGAAAAACCATAAAACATATTAAGTATAAAAAATGTTTTTTGGAGTTGTTCAGAAATCGAATATCACCCAGGTAAATATCATCCTCTCAAAATATGCTTAAGGTAGGGGTATCCTGTTTAATTGTATCTATTCATTTTCATATATAGGCTTCTCAATAGTCTTATTGTCTCTGGAGTAGCCATTGTATGTTTTCTTCTGGCTAAAAAAGCCTTTCATTTGAAGCATATAAGTAAAAATTAAATCATGACTTTTTTTTTTAAACAGAAAATTGGTTTTCATGAAAACCAATTTCTTTAAGGACGTGTTCTTTTATTCTGCAAAATATTAATGTATTTAATTAGCACAAATTTTTAGATTTTAATACAGCAGTCAACTAAATGAATACATTAAATTTGAACTATCATATCTTGAAACCTAACTAAACCAAAACTAAAAGACTGACAAAAAAAGTGAAAAGTTAATTTTTTTTACATGAATTTCTTGAGTGTCAGGAGAACTGTCAGGAATTGGTAGCTTCTCTTCTGGTATGTCAACACTTTCTTTTAGTACATCAATTTCTAGTTCACGATCTTCTTTTAAGGTATGTTCAGAGATAACAGGACTTTCAGATGTGATGAGCCCAGAGCTTCCACTATCACCAAGGTTACTGGCCACTGCTGTTGGGGGGTAGGGGGAAAGAGTTAAGGTTTTTACATTTTAAATTGAAAATCATGTTATTAACAAAGGAAACACAATGGAAAAAGCTATATACCTCACTTGAAAAATTAATTTAAAAAGTCTAAGATCTTAAAAAGGAAAGGTCTTTTTAAAAGGCAAATCCACTTTTTTCCAGGATAATACACATTCAGTTGAAATAATACATATACATAATATAAATTACACATTTAAAACTGGCAACATTGTTTTCTTCCATTGGACTGTAATTCCTACCCTTATTCTGACAGTTTAATATAATGACAAATTCCTGGAGGAACTTAAAGTGTTCATTATTTTGAAAATTATGTATTACCTAGTGATTATAAGACAACTAGCTATCTTTGTTAAACCAGTGCAGAATTATACTAGGGACATGCAATCTGGATTTTGACATGGCTTTCTTTTGGCAGAAAGCATACAAATGAACACAAATGTACCTTACCACTTTTCAAAATTAGGTGAAGGGGCTCACAAAAATATTCCTTTCATTTTTTCTTTTCACCAAATGTTTACATGTCACTAATACTCATAGGTTATATTTAGGTTTAGCATTTGTGAATGTCACAAAACACTAACCTCAAGGAGAAAAGATGTCTCCAACCTAACTAAAAAAATCCTTTAAAAAAATATTTATTTCTTAGTTACAAGTCAACACAATGTCTTTATTTTTATGTGGTACTAAGAATTGAACCCAGTGCCTCACACATGCTAGGCAGGCACTCTACCTCTGAGCCACAACCTCAACCCACTAAAAATCATTTTTAATGATGAATACAAATCAATAAAAAGGTAAAAAGATTTAAAAAAAGGCAAACCAGAAAAAATATTCATACTTTTAATAGATAAAAAGCTTATTATCCCTAATAGGCAAATGCTGTAAAATAAAATGAAGATATTTCCCACCTATCAGTTTGGCAAAAAGGCATGGGAAAATAGGTACTTTTTCACTCATCAACATATGAAAATAGCAGAAAATAATAATATTAGAAATCTGAATATTCTTTGACCTAGTAGGTCCATGTCTATCCAACAGAAATTCTGACATAGATTGTCTTGAAGATATATACCCAAGTATAGGCCTATAGAAACAAAACAGTGAAACAAAAAAATAAGAAAAAAAAAATAATAATCAGCCCCAAAACAGACCTGTAAACCAATGGTACAAAATAGAGGACACAGAGACAAACCCACATAATTACAGTTATCTCACATAAGACAAAGGCATCAAAAACATAAATTGGAGAAAAGACAGCCTCTTCAACAAATGGTTCTGGGAAAATTGGAAATCCACACGTAACAAAATGAAATTAAACCTATATCTTTTACCATGCACAAAACTCAACTCAAAGTGAATCAAGGACCTAGGAATTAAACCAGAGACCTTGCGCCTAATGGAAGGAAAAGTAGGCCCAAATTTCCTCCATGTCAGATTAAGCCTCAACTTCCTTAATAAGACTGCTATTGCGCAAGAATTAAAACCAAGAATTAATAAATGGAATGGATTCAAACTAAAAAGCTTCTTCTCAGGAAAAGAAACAATCAGTGAGGTGAGTAGAGAACCTACAGAATGGGAGCAAATTTCTACCACAAGCACATCAGATACAGCACTAATCTATAAAGCACCCAAAAACCTTAACACCAAAAAAAAAAAAAAAAAAAAAAAAAACAAACCCCACAAATAACCCAATCAACAAATGGGCCAAGAAATTGAACAGAGGATATATAATCAAATCAACAAACATATGAAAAAAATGTTCAACATCTCTAGCTATTAAAGAAAAGCAAATCAAAATTACTCTAAGACTTCATTTCACTCCAGTCTGAATGGACTGGAGTGAAATATCAAGAATACAAACAAAAAGAAGTGTTGGCTAGGGTGTGGGGGAAAAGGCACTCTCATACATTGCTGGTGGGACTGCAAATTGGTGCAGCCAGTATGAAAAGCAGTATGGAGACTCCTTGGAAAACTGGGAATGGAACCATCTTTTGACCCAGCTATCCCACTCCTCGGTCTATACCCAAAGGACTTAAAAACAGTATACTACAGGGACACAGCCACATCCATGTTTAGAGCAGCACAATTCACAATAGCTATCTTTGTGGAACCAACCCAGATGCCCTTCAGTAGATGAAGGGATAGGCAAAGCAAACTTTGGTATATATACACAATGCAATATTACACACGTCATTTAAAAAGAAGAAAATCATGGCATTTGCAGGGAAATGGATGGAGTTGGAGATATAATGCTAAGTAAGCTAATCCCCAAAAACCAAAGGCTGAATAAAACATTCTTTGATATGAGAATGCTGACTCATGGCTACAGGGGGTAATGGAGAAACTTTAGCTAGGATAAAGGGTAGGGTGAGGAAGGGAGCAGGCATGGGGGTAGGAATGATGGTGGAATGAGTTGGACATCATTACCCTAATACAAGTGTGAAGACAAGAATGGTGTGAAAATACTTTGTATACAACCAGAGACTTGAAAAAATGCACTCTATATGTGTAATATGAAATGAATTACAATCTGCTGTCATATATAACAAATTAAGTAAATTAACAATTTATAGGAACAGCTTTTATTAAGTGCCAAGCATTATTCTAAATACTTTCCACACATCTGGCTTAATTCTGACAACTATGAAATAAATCTTTTCACACATCTGGTTTAATCCTGACTACGAAATGAATACTATTAATATTTCCGTCTTATATTGTTAGTATTTATCAGACAAAAAATAGAGAAAAACAAATTTATAGTTAAGGGCAAAGGACTTTTGAGTCAGATAATTACACCTCACATGGTGTCATGAAGATTAAATGAGATAACATGTGTGAAAAGCTATAAGGTTACCAAAGAAAGTAGCTTCACCTCTGTATAATACAGTGTCTGAGAGTAGGTGTCCCACACCCCAAAACAGGGTTAACTGTGGGGAAAAAAAATTCAATGAATTATACTTATTCTTTCATGTTCCTAAATGCCTTACAAGCAACCTATTGTTTTGATAGCTGACATATCTCCTTAGAATGCCTTTATTCTAGGGAAGCAAATCAAAAAGAGTGGTAGAAATGAGAGAAGAAATAAAATGAAACAATCAAATGAACACATACATTCATTGTTGTCTGCTCTAATCGTAGAGTTGTAGGCTTCAACAGACATTAATCCTTTATCCAACACTGGTATCTTGGACTTTGGGGTGAGGATTTTCCTTTAGAAATAGAAATGTATACTTTAGCATGTATAAATATCCCACCTTCTCTACCTGCTTTGTCCTACTGCCTCTGTTATTCTGCTGATGAAAATCAAGGTTCAAAGAAATCACCAAACTCATTTTGAATATTATAAAATATGCAAGTGAATTTATAAACAAATAATGCTATACTTGGTTTTCCTTACTTTCTATTATTTTACTTTTTCAGTGACAATGACATGACATCAGAGTACAAATAAATCTATTGAAATGCGTGTCAGTATAAATTACACTTTGGCTAATTTTTTAAATAATTGTGGCCATGTTCTTCAAATAAGCCTGTCAAGTATTATGGAACATTTCCTATATACACAGTAGGATCAGGTTCAATATTTTAAAATTGGAAAAACAGGGTAAAAAGACTTATAATGGGAGACCATTGAAACCTGTATTAACACACATGATAAAAATAAGTTTCAGAATATGCTGACAGCCTTCATATTCTGAGCTGACCCTTTCCTAAAATCCAATTAGGCTGGTTTTTAAAATAGAGAATAATGTATTTGAAGTATGTACACATGGATATAAGACTTCCTCAACCACAATGCTTGTAGCAAGGATAAGAGAACAATAAATCACCACAAAATATTAAACATTATTTAGAAAAGAACTAGAGCTCTGCCAAGATGTTGAATATTCACCTAGTTTTTCAATGAAACCTTTTCTCATGTGAATGCTTTGTTTTATGACTGATGCAATTACCTATCAAATCCATTGTAATAAATAACATTTGTTTTCATTAAAGTTTAAAAAACACTAAAACAATAAAATAATTGGATAGTCCTTTATTCCACATTTCCAATAAAGGTCTGGGTAAATTCCAGCCATCAAATGTGATGTTTTCTCAGAAATGAAGTAGGTGACCAAGTTTGACCTTTCAGGTGACTATTGTGTTCCTGAATGTTGCAAATGGTTTGTGAAGTTGCTCATTATTTACTTATAGAGAGCAGTGTTTTAAATTATCACATTTCAGATGAGTTATTTTACTACATAACCTTTACTACCTCTTAATAATTGAAGCTGCCACTTTTTTGTATCCTCTACAACAGCACTACTACAAATGCTGACATACAATCTTAATCTTGTCTTTAGTCGTGAAATGAAGGAAAAGAGCATTTTGCCAGGTGAACTAATTATTTCATATGGATCAGTTCAGTTGACTTTCAATAAAGGAAGCAGTACACTGATTTACATTCTAATATAAGCTTCTTATAATAGATGATAAACTGTATGGGAATTGGTACCATTTTACCAATCCTGTTTTGAACAGCAAGCACTATGAATATCACCTAATGCATGGCCTTTTCTGTCAATGAAATTATTTGACAGCATAATATTTTAATTAGTTATCAAAAAACTTTATAGGATTGTAAGGAAAAAAATTTCTCTCAGCCATCTCTCCTATGTTCCACTCTGGTTTTATAGGAGTCCTGTGCCTAATCATCCTGAAACTACTAAAAAAAGGAAGCACATAGACTAATACCATAGTTGTGAATGAACTTTTGGTCTTCAACAGAAAGAGTCAAAGAATATTAATATGCCTCAACTCACTAGGTCTCTATATTATAGAAATGTCTAGTAGTATTAAGATTTATTTCATGGTAACTGAATATCACAACTATAAATCAACTAGGAATACAGGCAATTATTCAAGATGGGAATGTCAAAAATCTAAATGATCTCTAATACATGAAGAATATTTTGCCATGGGTTCATAATTTCATTAAACTTCTTTGGAAAAATATTTGAAACTGTCTTCATAAACTTACCCTTCATGGATTGATGGCACACAAAGTGATGCTTTGGTTCCTTCAGTGGAGCTTAAGTTATTTGATCCTGAAAGGGTCTCCTCTGCAACTTTCAAAGTGTCTACAAATCATACAGGTAAAAATATCATTTAAGCTAAATGTTTTATAACTGCATAGGTCTTGAACTATTACTGTTTAAGAAGTTGCTAGGCCTGCTTTTTCGTTCTTTTGTGTTTATTTCCTTGGCATCAGATTGTCAGCAGTTCCTTTTACTAATTCTGAGTCAAAGAGCCTCCCTTAACCTCCAACTTTTTACCTTTGGCTGAACAAGTACAATTTATTGCAAATGTTCTACATATATCAATTCACTTAATCCAAAATATTCAAAGAGGTATATCAGAAAAACTAAAGCATAATGTTAACACTGTTTATCCCAGATCACCAAGCATACTTAGAAAATAGTTGAGCAAGGATTCAAATTTAGTCTATTGTAATCTAGAGTATAGTCTTCTATGATTCTGACTCCAACACACACACACACACACACACACACACAGATTTCTACTTGGGACTGCCCAATAGGGTAGAAACAATCCATAACAATCCATATGTACATTCTTTTTTTAAAAATTATGGTCCTGGGAATGGAAACCAGGGCTTCATGCATGCTAGGCAAGCATTTTACCACCAAGGTGCATTCCTAAGCCCTTTTAAAAAAAATGTATTTTGAGAGAGGGTCTAATTAAGTTGTCTGGGCAAGGCTCAAATTTGCAATACTCCTGGCCTCAGCCTCCCAAATAGCTGCGACTACAGGTATTTACCATACCTGGCTCTTCTATGAACATTCTATTCTAATATTTATCATTTAAACATTTTAATGAAATTATGACACAGAAAAAAAAAGCAATGTTTATCTCTAGACATACACTACTTCAGCAGACTCCTGAATTTAACAGAGAAATTAATAATATGTAACAGAGACATCACAATCCAAACGTCATTGGACTCACTTCATGGGCCTTTATCTTGATTGTTCTGTGGTTGTTTTGGCAGTAAGGATGGAATATAGAACAATATCCCGCTCTGTGAGCAGAATTTCCCTAAATTAAGACTGCTGAATAAGTTAAAAATTGCAGCAACAATCTATTCTGTAAAGTTATTATTACATCCATTATTTATGGGAATATTCTCTAAATCGGACTGCTGAACCTTGCATTTCCATCCTTAAACATTAGTATTCTTTTCCAAATTTCATGGCCAGATTAAAAAGCATACTAAGTTTCTCTCCCTTCAAAGCTCATATATACTTATGGAACAATGTAAGCAATACTTATAACTGAAAAAGATTTTGACACCATGCACATATAATATTTAATCTTGATCTTCAAGCTTTCCTTATGGTGAAAAGAAACCTATTACAAAATTTATTAAGGTTGAGGAGAAAGCAGAAGGGATATGAAAAAGGGAGGAATGGTGGCATCTGACCAAACTTTCTTATGTATGTTTATAAATATACCCCAATGAATTAACCTTTATGAATAATGGACAAATTTTTTAAAATAATAATACATACAAGATCAGGAAAGCAGAGGGAGGAAAGAGGGAGGGAGAATTTTGGAGACTAAATTGAAAACCTCAATGGTTTTACTATAATGCACTAAAGAAGAATTTTTTAAGGAGTATCAATGGCAATTTTTTAAAAAATATTTTTTAGCTTTAGGTGGACACAATATCTTTATTTTATTTTTATGTGGTGCTGAGGATCAAACCCAGTGCCTCACGAATGCCAAGCGAGTGTGTTACTACTTGAGCCATATCCCCAGCCCTATCAATGGCAATTTTTAATATGTGGAAATGAGTTCTTACCCATCTGTTTTTCCTCATCTGGAGGAATTACTTGTGACTCAAACACATCTTTATCTTCATCTTTCTTGATTTGCTCAGTTAAATTAGTATTTAGTTCAGTGGAAGACTCTCCTGACTGGGAGGACAAGAAAATATCTTCAAACTCTTCTGGTGATGGTGCATCTTGATATTCTAAGGTGGTCTGGTCTGATCTGGTTGAAGCATTGCTTTCTTTGCTCACATCTAGTTTCTCCAAACTTTGTGAGGATGCGTCCAGTGACCCTGTATCCATTTCTTGAGGGTCCTTTTCTGAGCTATTTACAAGAAAAGGAATGGTTTCCTCTTTGCTCTTCGGCCATTCATTTTCTGCTGGAACTCCACATTTATGAAAAGATGCAGTGATAAATGCTTCTGGGTTACTGTTATCTGCAGGCTGTTAACAACCAAATAGGAACTTAAGAAATACTACACAGAATAAACAAAACTTTTTAAAAAAGCCCACAGACTAAGACTTAGGAGGTCTGAATTCTAGTGCTATTTCTGCCACCAATATATACAATTCACTTGGTACTTTTAAGCCCAATTTTGTTTTTTCATCTGTAAAAGGCTTAGCCATTGCCCTCATGTTTTCTTCAGAATTGTTTTGTAAATTCAAGTCAATCTATAAAACTGCATATAAAAATCCATAGTGAGGTTATTTAAATTGATTTACCACACTTTTTACTTGTAAGAGCTAATACAATCTTTGAGTCTTTTTTCCCTATTATAATCAAACTTACTGCAATAGTCCATTTTGTGTTCATTTCTTCTTCCATGAATGAAATTTTAGTTTCTTTAAGTCGCAAAGGAGGAGTAAGAGACCTTCCAGGTGATGTAGAGGGAGTTGCTAAAGGTGTTCGAAGGCCAGACCTTAGGATAGATTGAGGAGTAAACTCGGCAAATCCAGAAGAAGCAACTGACATAACCAAACTTTTAGCTTTCTAAAACAAAGAACAAATGGAATTCCATTAGTGTTTATAAAAGGCATTTACGTAAGTATTTACTTGGGCATTTGAGTGACAATTGTGGTGATAGTTTCATTAGATTTAGTAATAATGAATACATATAATTCAAAATTAGCACTTAATTTAGTAGAAATAATTCCTTCACTTAATTTATCCACTAAAGACCCAGTAACCAGATTACTGAATCCCACTAATGAGTGCTGTTAGACACATTATAAGATTGTTATAACTAAATACTCTTTTAGCAAGACGAACAAAATCATTCCCTAATATAATTTCACTTGAATTTTTTGAACTTAGCTGGAGAAAATACAAACCAGTTTTTATTTTTGGACAGATGAAAAGATTAGAAATACAATACTGGATTGTGTCAGGAAGCTAAAAATCCTATCAACCTTCTTTTAATAACTATTTTAGAAATAGCACTTAGTTATCTTTCATTCAATTTGAAAAATAAGAATTTTCTAGCTTTACTGATCTCTAGAAAGAGAACCCAGAAACAACAAAAATAAGAAAGCTTCTAGGATTCAATATAGAATACTGAACAAGGAGCAAGGAGATAACATATGAAAATACTTTGAAAACGAAAAGATTATTGTTACAAGTTATCACAAGTTTAGTTTTGTTGTTTTCTCAATAATAATTTATCAGAAAGGAGGGAGGAAAAGGTTATTTAGACACTAATAAACTAGGAGTAGGAATAGTTCATGGTCAGAAAAATTTCTTAAAAATGTAAAAACTAAAAATTATTTAACAGAAGGAAAAAATAAGTGCATAGTATCAGCAAAATTATATCAACATATATAAAAATCAAAAGCTTAAAATTATTTTGAAAAGGACAAAGGCCAATTTATAATAACCATTCAGAGCCTTGTATAATATTCAAGACAATGTGATCATTATTATTAAATTTAATCAACCCAGTTTAAGAAGATGCAAAAGTACAGCAAGTATTTTGGAAAGACAGTCATGAAAATTAAAGTGAAAAACAGCTATTGACTATTCAGTTACAAATAGCTTATTTTCTCTGTGCTATTTGAAACTAAGAACACTCTTGCTTTACTATGAATGCTAGGGACATAATACTAACCTTAACTACAAGAGGAGTCTCAAGTAAATGTAATTCTGCAGACTTGGAGGTATTCTGATGTGATTCTTTTGACTGTGAACCAAATGGCAAAGAACTGGATAGTAGGCATAAAGGAGATCTTGTGGGGCTTTGCTGAATAAACCCCAAAGGTTGAGAAGGTCGGGGGATAGGATGAATAACCAAATCTAGTAATCTGTAATCAGAACATACTTATGAATAGAAGAATCCTGGTATATTATTAACTAAATTATTCTGATGAAACAAAAGAATTTTAATATTCAATGTTATTGTTAAGATTTATATATTCACTAATGAATACCATAAAAATACATAAACACACTTAGCCACCATTAATTTTTAAAAAGTCAGAAAACGATTTCAGTAGCAAAAAAATAATTAGGAATTTTAGAAACAATTTAAGAACAAAGAAGATCACAATATTTTTCAGTAGTGGGTATTTAACCCAGAACTTTACCGTTAAGCTACATCACCCTCTTTTTATTTTGAGACAGAGTCTCATTTAAGTTACCTAGGGCTGTCCTCAAACTTGTACTCTTCCTGTCTTAGCCTCCCCATTTGTTAGGACTGGTTATGTATCACCATGCCTGCAGTTCTCTTTCCCTTTTACCAGTTATTTACTGAGCTTCCACTATCAGCCAGGCATTTATTTGCCATGAAGATTAACTGCTAAAGATTGACAATACACAGGATAAGGCATCCCTAGCAATCCATGTGCTAAAATTCATCTTTATCAACACTTAGGATATGACAGCATTAAAATCTAGACTAACACCCACCCCCCAAAAAAAGTTAATTAAAAAAAGTTTGTTGGGCTGGGGATGTGGCTCAAGTGGTGGCGTGCTCGCCTAGCATGCGTGCGGCCTGGGTTCGATCCTCAATACCACATTCAAATAAAGATGTTGTGTCCACCGAAAACTAAAAAAATATAAATGAATATTTTAAAAAAATCTCTCGCTCTCCCTTAAAAAAAAAAGTTTGTTGACAAAATAATCTCAAAAAGTTTTCCATAATGTCCCAGACCTAGTTTACATCAAATGATAAAACTGATTCCATTCATGATTTGTATTACACATACACAGTCCAAATAAGCTTAAAAACTTACAGAAAAATATTTTCAGGTCATAATATAGTTGTAAATGGACTTTTATTTTATTTATATCTGGTGCTGACACTCGAACCCAAGGCCTCACACCACTGAGCCACAACCCCAGCCCCCCCAACAGTCTATTTTATGTCTGTATTTTCTATAATAAAAACAGTTATTTTTTTTATTTCTCCCAGATGCCAGTGTGGATCAGCTGAGAATAACCAAAGAACAGCTTGTTCTGTTGCCCAGAAAGTTTTTTAAAAATCCCAGTTGCTTTGTCTTCTGTATTCTATCCTTCAGATTCCAAAGGGATTTTCACTATCAGGGTGGTAGATCCACACAGATCATGGGTGCTTTAAGAATCAACCTATTACCCAGTGAAGAAATGAAAGCATTTTCATTACGAGGTCTTTGTACCTGTTATTCTGTACCAGTCACAGCCTTGAGATTTCTACCAAAACATGAACATCTAATCTAGACATTTCTTTCTCTATCTTCGTTTCTTTCTAATTTATATTTAAATTCTGTACTTGTAAACAAATTGCTTACTTTTTAACTTTTCCAATATTATGTTCAAAGCTCTGCACTGTTAATATTTACATCTTGCCTATTTAGGTAAGACTGCTTCTCAATAGCAAGGTCTGTATGACAAATGGCAAAATTCTTTGGGTGGTTTAGTGGTATATTAGGGATTAAAGCCAGGAGTGCTTTACTGCTATTAAGCTACATCACCAATTCTTTTTATTTTGAGACAGGGTCTTGCCAAGTTGCTGAGCCTGGCTTTGAACTTCTGATCCTCAGCCTCAAAGGTCAGTGTGATTACAGGCATGTATCACCATGCCTGGCACAAAATTCCTATACAAGATTAAGTTATTCTCTAAGAAGAGTATGAAGGAAAAAAAAAAATTCTTTTTTCCTTGTTTCCAGGGACTGAACTCAGAAACACTGATCGACACTCTTGACACTTTTCATTTTATTAACTATTTTTTAAAAATTTCCCTTGGGTAAACAAGTAGGAGTGGGGCTGCTGAGTCATAAGGGAAAAAAATGTATGTTGAAAGAAATTGCCAGAGTTTTATGTTCCTACCAGTAGCAATGCACAACATTTCAAACTGCTTTGCACACTTGCTTGCACCAAGTATTTTTGTAGTTAGCCATTTGAAAAGGTTTACAGTGACCTCAAGAGCATTTTTCTTTTTTTGCGGTAATAGGGATTAATCCCAGTGCTTCATGTTTACTAGGCAAGCACTCTCCCACTGAATCATATTGCCAGTTATGAATATTTTTAACTATCTGATGTTGCTACATACAAATTATAATCACAATTTCATTTAGATGTGAAACACTGAATTTATTTATATTTGTAATATCATATTACCGATATAGTATTACTGCATCTGAAGTTGTATGAGAGAGACATCAAGTAGTCTCTGCTGTACAGGAGAAAGCTTCAATATGAACCAACTGAGATTAGTTAATAATTACAAAAACAATTTCTACAGAGGTCATCTAACAAGAAGATAATATCAGAGGGGAAAAAAAAGGCTAACATTTTACTTTACTCCAAAGTTATAGTAAAGAATACTTTTCACTAAGATGTCTGAAATGAGAAATTGATTTTAAAATTACCACACTACTGTCCAAATTTTAAAGAAATCATACATTAAACATTACTGTTATAATTAATGCCTAACATTGTGTCTTTAAGGATGATTTAATGAACTCTCACCTAGAAATCCTCTGTGATGCTTTTGAAATGGGTGTTCCAACAAATGCCTCAGGCAGTTGTAGATGTGGGAAAGAATATACTATAGGAGATGCTTCTTCTATTTTAGGACTACAAAGAAAATAAAAATTTAACTTCTGATTATGCATCATGCTGCATTGATTAAAAAAAAGCTTTAAAGTAAAAATAGATGGAATAGGAAAGGACTTTCATTTCTTACTTTGCAATATCTACAATAAACATACTGCCTTTTAAAAAATGTTTTTTAAATATTTATTTTAGATATAGGTGGACATAATATCTTTTATTTTTATGTGGTGCTGAGGATCGAACCCAGTGCCTCACGTATGCCAGGCAAGTGATCTAACTCTGAGACACAACCCAGCCCCTTAAACTTTTTTTAGTTGTCAATAACCTTTATTTTATTTATTTATATGCAGTGCTAAGAATAGAACCCATTGCCTAGGCAAGCACACTACCACTAAACCACAACCCCAGCCCCTAAATACACCACTCTAACTGAAAGTAAAACATTCTTTTTGTAAGAAAATAAAAATGCTTTTCCTCTTTACATATGCTAATAATAAACACTATAATAATTAGGGTAGATTGTGATAAATACTTTTGGTGTCTAGGAAAAACTGCAAGTAACATGACCTTAAAAGGTATAAGAAAGGGGCTGGGGCTGGGGCTGAGTGGTAGAGCGCTTGCCTTACATGTGTGAGGCACTGGGTTTAATTCTCAGCACCACATAAAAATAAATGAATAAAATAAAAGTCCATCAACAACTAAAAAAAAAATACATATTTTTAAAAAAAGGTATTTAAAAAAACATACTTATTATAAAGTGAGATGCTATTTCCAGGATCACTGCTTGTCCACACCTCTCCAATTCTAGATAACACATTATTGATGAAAGTGGATCTTGATAACACTGTTCCTGTCATGGCTTTCTTTGGAAATGCTGACAATGGTTTGGGTCTAGAAACTGTAAAATGAAGAATGTAGGATTTAATTGATTCTCTAACAATCAGGATTTTAATAATGTAATTAATATCAAAGAATGGACAACATGGAAGTCATAATAAAGTTTAAATTATATTTGGTTTAAACTACAGCTATACTGAAATTTAACAATTTGGGATATGGTATAAAATTATTTAACTAAAAGTTGGGCACATGTCTTCAACTAAAATACAAGATTTTCATTCTGCGTTACAGTAGGAAACAAATTGTAAAAAACTTCCCAGAAAACCCTACATTTCATGGAACAGAGTAGTCAGTAAAAAAAAAAAAAAACATGACTGTGATTAAAGTATTAGTAAAAGTGAGCAATATTTAAAGTAATGAGAGTTTCAGAGGAGGAATCATTCAATATTTTTAATAGCCTGAGAGTTTATGACATTCTTCAATGAAATCTTACATTCTCGAAAAACTGATGATGTTGACAGATGGTAAGGCTTAGCTCTTTCCATGGCTAATTTTCTCTGGACTCTAGGAAGGATTTTCCCATATTGCTCTAATATAGAATTTCGAGCCACTGATCTCTCCCGCAAACGAGGATCCCGATCATTCTATTGAATATATCAAAATTGTATTTACCAGTTAAAATATAATCATATTATAAATATTTTCTTCCTCCTACCTATTTTTTCCAAACTGAAGATTTTACATACAAACTTAATTGCTTACATCAATTAAAAATGTCTACTAACAAACATTGCTCCTTCACAACTATTAAAAACAGTGGTTATCATTTATTAAACATTTACATGAGTCAGTCAACCTGCTACTTCATAAATCTCTGAGCCCTCTCATAATAACTTCATAAGAAAATATTATTGGTTTACACATGAGAAAACAAAGGCTCAGAGCATGTCCTAAACACAGCAAATTAAGAATCAGTTTCAACCTTTGAAATCCAATATTCTCTGCATTAAGTAACTTCTGCTGCTGTCTCCACCTCTTCCTCTCATTTTTCCTGAGTGGTTAGTATGACAAGACTACGGGCAGATGTCAGGGCATAAATGGCATATATAAATATAGAAGAATTAGGGAGGAGACAGTAGAGGGAGATTAAAAAAAAAAAAAAGAGGCAAGTAATAATATGCCAATAGACAAGAAGAACTTTCTCCAAGTTATGACAATAAAAGGCACAACATATACAAACACTGCAAGTTCTTATGAATCAAATCAACCAAAAAAGTCTTCAGTTCCTTATTCCCTTGTCCCACACAAAGAAACAACTTTAATCATACCATAAGATTAATCTTCAAAGTCTGGTTCAGCTTCAAAGCAGGAATATAATTGGCACGCTGCAAATGGTGAACTAAAAGGTATTCATGATTCTGAACACTGGCACTGGACTGCAAAAATTTCACCAAACACTCCTAGAAGAACAGAATGGATTTGTAAACTATCAATTTATCTTGAATTTGTGATAAAATTACACTGTTAAATGATTACCTGTTCAGTGTTTGTAAATGGTAATTTCAATAAATCTTCCATTAAGCCTATTTCCTGGCAGACTTCATAGGCATGCTTCAGTAATTCCTCTGCATTCACTTTATTAGAATGTTGTCGCAATAAACTCCAGGCCTCAACCAGGCACCTAAAATCAATAATTATCCAAGTTTAGTTTTTGAAAGGCTATTTAAAATGTTCAAAATTCATCTACCTATACAATCTCAAAGATAATTTTGTACTGCAATTTATAAAGATTTTTAAAAATATGCTGCATAATGAATATTGATAATAAAAGATTTAATATTATGCTGCTCTGTATTGTTCAAGTGTAAAACAATAGAAAAACAAAATAGAACTTCACAATAAAACAAAAAAGTGAGCAGGCCTTGATAGAAATTAAAGACTGATGTAATGATAGCAAAATATCAGGCTTTTAAGGAAGTGATATTTGACAGAAGAATGGATAAGAAAATGAATGAAGGTCTACAGGTGGTAACAAGCATATTTTATTCATGGCAGATGAAAGTTATAGCTCATAAGTAGTTGATTTGGGCTAATCCAGAGCAAGATCCACTTAAAGAACTGAATTCAAATTTAACAGTCATAGACCACAAGCAGAGACAATGAAATGTTCTTCTTTGAGGAATGAGATAATTTAAAAAGAGTGTTTCTTACATAGGTCTCTCCCTAAATCAAGACAGGGATTCTGTGACCTTTAGAAAAATGTCCAACTGAAAATGCACCAATACTCTTATCTTGGAAGTTCACCTGAGTCTATTAGAATTTAAATCACATGCAGGATATGAAACAATAATCCCACTGCAAAGAATATCATCTATATAAATGCCATCAAAAATGCATAAAGATATACAACATCTTGCCTAGGATGTGGTCATAGGTTCAATCCTGGTGCTACAAAAAAGAAAAAAAAAATAACCAATAAAAACCTATAAACGTTTACGTATTCAAGGACATGAGAATACAGATATATATGAACATTGATAATGATTAACCTGGCAGTTAAATTTCTGTTGTACCTTTCATGGGAGAAAGGGGGCAGAATAAAAACACTCATTTCATGGCAAGTAGGTAAGATAAAAGTTACAGCAATTAGTATTTATAATGAGCAGTTATAAATTAAAGAATCTAAGGAAAAATTGGCAGCACTGACCCAGACTTCCTGTGGACACAGTTACTCAGCAAAGCAAATGACATCTGCTGTTGGAAGGTCAGGGCTATGTGTTAATGTTATTACCAATAACACTAAGAGTAGATAATATTCAACATATTCCATAGACTTTATAAAGACCAACAATTCTAAGATGTAAAATCTCTAAAATTCACTTATGAAATTGCCTTGTATTCCCTTCTATCAAAACAGGCATGACATTGTGGTCATTACAGCTTGAGTAAAGAAGAGGGATGGGTGTCTGCAGACATGTGTGCAGGGGGAAAAAAAAATGTGTGCATGTGTGCAAAAAAAAAAATGTAGAAAAATTACCACTCAATTAAAATCTAGAAACATTAAAATGAGCAGAACACAAAACCTTTTTGTAGAAAGAAAAGCAAACAGGATGAAATGAACAGATCAGTATTAATTTTAAAAACCAAATATAGAGAAATAAAGAAGTATAACAAAATTTTGGTATTTGTTAAATTTTATTTCAGATATGTTCATGAAAACTTAATTATACTAGTCTATATGTTAAAATGTTTATTCTGGAGGATTGAACATGGGCACTTTACCACTGAGCTACATTCCTAGCCCTTTTTTATATTGAGACAATGACAGGGTATCATATCAAGTTACTAAGATTACAGGCATGCACCACCATGCCTGGTTTATTTTTTATTTATTTTATTTTATTGCAGTTTCTAGGAACTTACATAGAACTTTGTGTGTGCCAGGTAATTGTTCTATATCTAAACTACATCTCCAGCCCCCTATAATCATTTTGAAACAATGCTTGTAGCAAAAGAAATTTCAGATGAATCAATACCTTAAATAAAAACAAAGCAATAAGTGGTAGTAGAAAGCATGAGAAAATTTTTTTTAAAAAAACGGAGAAGACAGAACATAATAATCATTATTTTCAGGACAGCAAAATCCATTATAAGCAAACCACTGTGAAAAGGTAAATTATAACCAGGCATGGTGGCACACACCTGTAATCCCAGCAGCTTGGGAGGCTGAGGCAAGCCAGCCTCTGCAACTTTGTAAGGCCCTAAGTAACTCAGCAAGACCCCATCTCTAAATAAAATATAAAAAAAGGGCTCTGTAGTTAAAGCCCCCGGGTTCAATCCTCAGTAATCCCCCCACCAAAGGAAACAACAAACTAAAGAGTAAATGAAAATCTCACAAGGTTAATTTCAGTAATGAATAATAAATCAATTAGGAAAAATTCAAACACAGTAAAAGAGGCAAAGAATTTAAATGGGCAAGTCACTTAATAAATAGCTCCTTATGAAAAAGACATCAAGTATTTGATAAAGGCAGAGTACAGGCAATAAGGGCCTTGGATCAAAATGGCATACCCCTCATGGAGGGCAATTTGCCTTAGCTCTCAAAACTGCGACTGCAAATATACTTTGACTAAGTTATTCTACCACTAGAATTTCGTTCTCCAAAATAAATTCGTGTGTGTGAAAAATGTATAGCTACTCATTATAGCATTACTTATAATAGCAAAAATATCTAAAAGTTCATTAATAGGAACTACATTAAATTGTACATCTATCTACAAAACAAATAACTATGCAACACTTAAAAGAAGCTCTTTATATATTGTTATGAAATGAACTCTAAAACTAAGTTCAAAAAGCATATTTCACAAGGGTATTTTTGCTAAGTTCATTCTTCTGGTATTTTGTTCAGAAAATCTCAGAAGAATGAACTTGAAGTTGTTAACAATGATTGGATTCAAAAGAAAAGCTTGAAAGTCACTTATGTTACACTCCACATGCTTATCTTTTCTTCCTTAGTCCTTGGACAAATTTTAAAATGAATAAAAACACATTTGACATTACTCCTAAATTTAGCAGATATACCTAACTAGAAGGATAGTAAGATAAAATATTTTTATAATTTTATAATTCATCAAATATTCTCCAACTTCAAAAACTCTATTGCTAGCACTTACAAAGAAGTGCCCTAATTCTATTATTTTGCTTCTTATGGTAGAAAGTGATAAAAATATGAAGAGCAGTAAGAAATTTTTTTGATTGATGAAAAGATAGTCTAGGGTGTTAACAGTTAACAGATATAGAAAATAATCTTTTAAAATACATAGCAAAAACCACAATGAGAAAAGAAATTCCAAATAGGCAAACAAGGAATCACTGATTTCCAGTTGCCCGAGTAAAAGAAGACTTCGAAAGATGCAGATGCATCAACAGTAACACATACTAAAGGTATACTAAAGGTATAATAAAAGGTCACAACAAGGACATAGCTCAGTAGAGTATAGTAACTGTACTAACAAGGTTGTATTTCATCCAATGCCACCAAAAATAATAAAAGGCTAAAGTCATTAAAAGAAAAAATGATTTAAAATGTTGATGTAGCTAATATTAATATCAAAAAAAGTTGGTAGTTTTGCAAGGAACTGACAGATTCCATCCACTTCAGAGTAGGCAACTTACCATGCTTTTTTCAGTAACTTATAGAAGAGACCAGGAAAAGTCATTGAGGACACAAAGACTTAACATCCCTAGTCCTATTTTGTATTTTATTTAGAGACAAAGTCTCACTGAGTTGCTTAGGACCTCATTTTTGCCACAGTGCCCATACAACATGTAATTTTTAATCCCAGCATTTACAAATTAAAATGTCTGAATAACTAATAGGAAGAAGAAAAAAACTCATACTGGGAATTTAAAGTAATGTGTAGAAAATGAATGTGCCTTTTTAAATCAGTTAAGGAAAAAACCTAAAAACTAGGTAAGCTAATCATTCAACTTGAGTTAAACAGTTAGGTAAAATAAACCCACAGAAGGTAGAGGAAAAGAATGAAGAAAATGATTATACCTATAAAACATTTTTCAGTTCTACTGCACCATTATAATATGAAGACCAAGTAAGCAATTTTAAAAGCTGACCATCTAAAACCTTTTTTTAACCTCAAGTTTATCATTGTACAGTGCATAATGATTAACTTGCAAGCACAACAGCCAAGCCAGAATTATGATGATGATGATATACATCCACAAATGTACCTCACAAAATCAAGAGATTATCAGAATAAGTTGTGGAAAAAAGACTGATGATCTTAATAGGAAGAGGTTGAGGTCCTGGACTTAGGATAAGTTCAAGAAATGACAATAATGACTGATCGACCATTACCACCACTTATTAATGATTTACAACTTCTGCAGACAACTGTAATAGTGCTTTTGTCATTACAATTTAAAATACCTCAAGGTGGACTTTATTAATCCATGTTACAAATGAGGAAACTCAGCCTCAGGAAAGATAAACTGCCTTTTTTATTTGTTTATGCTTGATACTAGGGACTGAACCCCAGAGGCATTTTACCACTGAGCTATATTCTCAAAGTTTTAAAACAACTTTGTTTTCAGAAAGGATCTGGTAAAGTTTCCTAAGGTAAATTCAAACTTGCAATCCTCTTGCTTCAGCCTCTGGATTGGCAAGGATTACAGGTATGCACAACTATATCTAGCTGAAAAAACAGCTTTTGACCAAATTTTAGAAAGTGGTACAAGTAAGGTTAAATTCAAGTCTAAAGAGTACACTATCACTTATGTAAGTTAAAGTAGCTCAAAAATATTGTAACATCTTTCCATCTAGCATAGGGTAAATCTCAAGAGAAGATTAGTATTTTCAGGCTTGAAATATTAAAACATTTTCAGCCATTTTAAGTACTATTATATAATCACAGCATTTACAGATATAATTGTAAATCTCAGTTTGGCACTAGGCATTGTATAAGTTTTTCTTAACACTGAAAAATCAAGAGGCATAAGATATTTTAGGGAATGCAACCAAAGTAAAAATACTAGATATTGTTACTATCTATTCCTCAATTTCATATTATTAACATACATGTTCAAGAGTCTATACTTGCAAAAGATGTACTTACCTATTAAAAAGCAAAACAGTGAGGTGAAGGATAACATCACTACCACTGGACACTGTTGGCTTCATTGTCTGAATATATCTGAGAGCTTGTCTATACTCTCCCTGACTCATAAAGGCTTGAATAATCTTTGAATGTTGCCATGACAGAGGTTTTGCAGTAGCTGGGTGAAACAGAAGGTCCAACCCACTCTGCAAAAATGACATGAAATTGTAAAATATAAATATAATCCTTTGCATTTAGACAAAGAAGTCAATCTTAAAAAGACAAGCAATATTAAAAGCCAGTTTGGGGGACAGAATCAAGATATAAATCAGTTTAACTGTAAGATAAAAGGAATTACTTTAACATATAAGTTTTAACAAAAGCCTTATATCTTCCAGACCTCAATAAGTTATATATAAAATCTTTCCACTATCTGTTTCATACATGGATGATAAATCTTGCCTTCTATGGTTCATTAAACACTCCAAACATATCTCTAACATATCATAGTATTTGTATTATCAATAATTCTCATTTGTTTCCTTCTTTAGACATTAACTTAAGTTTTTGAAGTTTTATCCTTGTATTTTTATTGCATAAGGTAGTGCTTGGTGAAAGCATTGATTAAAGTGAATTCTCCTTAAATTACCTCTAGAAATACACTATGATCTTTAATATCAAATTTAATCTAGTCAGGTATGCTTTCTGAACTCCTAGTAATTTAGGAAAGCTTACATTAAGTTACTTACCTCAAAGTCATTATGATCAATCAGCCAAAATCCTTGAATAAGTTTAATTTGACCCCAAGAAATGGCAAAGGCAGTTGGAAAAGACTCAATGGGAGTATCCGTTTTGTTTGGAAAGGAATACATAATATCAAGTAACAAATAAATGGTCTTTTAAAAAAAGGATTAAGGACAAAGAACAAAAGAAAAAACCACTACATATGTATTCAGCATAGGTTGCAACAGAATGTAGCATTTAAAAAGTCTTGAAAACATATACAGAATATTTCACCCATCAATGATGGAATATACTTTCTTCTCAGCAGCACACAGATCATTCTCTAACATAAACCATGTTATGTAAGTTATCACATATGTTGGCACACAATTTGATATTATCTTAATATTTTTAGCATCTGTAGTGTTATTTTGATAGCTCCCTTTCCATTGATATTAATTTTTGTGTTCTCACAAAATTTCTTCAATTTCATGTTTCTGTTACTACTCCAATTTTTTTCCTCCCTATTATTTAATTTGAAAATCATTTGTTAATTTAGCTTCTTTCTGATAAAAGTACTTTATGTTATAAATGAGTACTGTTTCATCCCAGAGATTGATATTTTAAGCTTTTATTATCACTTAATCCAAACACTTTATATTTACTTTTATTGTGCTTTCTTCTTTATCTACGTGATATTTATAAGTGTACCATTTAATTTTGAAGTAGCTAACATGTAGAAGTGGGATTCTATATATCTTAAGGTAATTAATTTCTAATGTAATAAATCATGCACTCTTTCCTCAAAGAAAAAAAAAAGTAATGGAAATGCTTTTTATATTGATTGTATTGCTTACACACATGTCAAAACTGATCAAACTGCATATTTCAAATATGTGCATTTTATCATACTTCAATTTTACCTCAATAAAGCTATGAAGAAGAAAAAATAAAACAATGATACTGCAGACTAAACCCAGGGCCTCTTACATGCTAGATAACCATTCTACCACTGAGCTATTTCACAAGCTCTTTTTATTTTCAGACAGGGTCTCAGTAAGTTGCCAAGGCTAGACTCAAACTTGTGATCTTCCTGTCTCAAATTCCTAAGTGGCAGGGATTACAGGTGTTCACTATCATACTGAGAGTAGAGTTGAATCAAATGTGGATACAGCCAGTATCCTATGCTTCATTTATTCTCTATTTTGTTATGACAAAGGAGATGAGCTAAAGCATACTTTTCTCTACACAGAAACAAACTTAAAAACCTGTTTAGAGAATTTTAAAAGCAGAGCTGTAAGATGGAGAAAGATGCTTAGAATATTAATATGCAAAATAAAAGGAAGTAGTTTACTAAAAAACAACAAACAAACAAAACCAGCTGTAAGCCCAGTCATTTATTGGGCAAAAGTCAGTAGCTAAAGGAAAAAAAAAAAAAAAACCACACTGTGAATCTTTATTAATTATAATGAAGCAAGATATTTTAAGAAACTTACATTACCACAAAAACATATGAGTTCAAACAATGCCTATTATCTTATTAACTTACAATATGTTTATTTTCAGCACGTGAGTTAACCCCATTAAAAACTACTTGCCAGCAAAATTCTAGAGCAGTTGTTTGGCTTTTTTTCTTTCCATTCCTGGGGTCCAACCCAGGGATTTGTGCTTAGTAAGCAAGTACTCTACCCCTTAGCTAAACCCCCACCCCAACTGGCCCTAGAATAGTAGTTTTTGAGTTTTAGATACATTTGAGAATCTGATAGAAGCTAACATCCACATATCCCTAGAGACAGTTTTTTTGGCTGGTTGCTTTTATTGATAGTGGGGACTGAACTCCAGCACAGCACTGCCACTGAGCTACATCCCATCCCTTCTAATTTTTTTATTGTGGGACAAGGTCTTGCTAAGTTGCCAGGCTGGCCTCACTTGAACTTGCCATCCTTCTGCCTTCACCTATGAATCACTGGGATTACAGGCATGTTGTACTACAGTGTCTGGCTCCTAGACACATTTGAGAATCTGATAAAAACCAAGGACCATATCCCTAGAACAACAAATAATTTTGCATATAATTTTAGGTTGATCGTAGGCCCTCCTAATCCAACCAAGAGATCCTGGATGAAGACGATTTATTTTAAGAAAATAAAAATTTAAAAAATCTAAGCATGAAAGTGAGACTGCATTATATATTATTACTATAATAACATTACTAGTATTATAAAGGATACAATAGAGTGTTTGTTTACTTCAGTAATGTTGTCTAATAAATAAATGTCTAGTAGTGCCTATAAAAGAAATGGGGAAAAAAAAAAAGCTTAAGTTGATCTTATATTCATCCATTCACTCACTAACATACTCATTTATTTGTGCTCCTTCTTTTCCCTAGTTTGTGACAGGTATGAAAAACATAGTTAAACACGTCTCCTCTCTCTAGAACTTTCAAAGATTCAGTAAATGATAGCAATTACTGTAAACCTACATGTAGACTAGCAGGAGGATATTTTCCTGTGCCTCCTTCATCTCGTTTCCACAACTTCTCAACTTGATCTCCTAACTGAGAAACCAATCCATCAATCATCAAACAATCAGGGTTCCACTTCCCTCTGTAATATGAGAAACATATTAAATATTAGTGCTAATTACTGGTATCAAAAAACAAGCACCAGCTCTTTAAAATACTAGCTATCAAAGAAACAAGAGAGGTAAAAATTGGATCTCATTTTAGCATCATAAGAACTACAGAAATAAAGGAGCATTGGTCACATAACACTTAAGTTGCCTCAAATTCAGCAAGGTCAAGTCCTAGGAAAGAATGTGTTCTAAATAGTAAAATGTCTGGAACTATTCTACTTTTCACCATATTGAGCAAAGTACTATACAGTATAGTAGCTTAATGTAGTAAAACTACTGCAGTTCAAAGTAAAATATTTTCCATTTCATCACCACATCTATTCTTTTATCTCTGGTTATAACTTCACTCCAAAATTTATTATTGAGCACGTAAAATACAATTTGAAGACCTGTCCCCATTTCCTAATTTAATATTAATTAACAACAGCAGCAATTTCTACTTCATCGAAATCTTCTTGAGTCAGGCTTTATACTAGGAGCCCTGCACATATTTTATGTTGATATTGTAATTTACATAACAGAATCACAAACTATAGCAAACTTGTCCAAAAACATACTTAGGAAATAAAAGATCTTTAAATTAACAAAATTTAAATACGCCTAATCATTCTCCCAAAGCCATATTCATTACTGGAAATTAGTTATTCTAAAGCATTGGTATGCAAATTTTACCATGCTTAAGAATTACAGTTTGCTCAACTTTTTAACCTCCCTGGTGATTCTGAGCTAATAAAGGTAGAATCAATCACTGCTATAAATGTTGTCTGCAGCTCTAAAATTGTCATTCCAACTTGAGGTAGAAAGGTTATTTAGTTCCAGAGATAGGCCCAATGCTCTAAACTTTACTTTGTTCTACTATTACATTCATATTTCTCTTTAGAAACAACAAGGCTATTCAAGTTTTTTTTTAATATTTATTTTTAGTTTTAGGTGGACACATATCTTTATTTTATTTTTATGTGGTGCTGAGAATCGAACCCAGTGCCTCACGCATGCTAGGCGAGCACACTACAACTTGAGCCACATCCCCAGGCCCTTTTTTTCATTTTTTAAAAATGCTTATAAAACATTCTCATAATGGTAATAGACTTAAGAGTAAAATAAAGATATAGCCAGCAAGTCAAGGCAAATGATACAAATAAATTAGAAATACCACTAACATTCTAACATTTACTTACTGAGAATTCCACACATTTAATCATTGTACAGCATGATGTACTTTGTTCTGAGAAAGTCTGATTTTTCATAGAAGTAATTTCTGTATCTTTTTTTTAAATTATAGATGGATACAATATCTTTATTTTGTTTATTTTTATGCAGTGCTGAGGATCAAACCCAGTGCTTCACATGTGCAAGGCAAGCGCTCTACTGCTGAGCCACATAGCCCAAGATCCCCTAGATGTAATTTCTAAACTGTGTTTTGAAGGTCTGGATATACTATACCTTGATACACGCTCACACTTCTGTCGACGATTGGTGTAGTAGTTCTGAATTACAGGGTAGTTGTAGCATAACCTTGACAACTGCACAGCATCATCTGGATTTTTATTTAAGGTTGGGGGGACAAAAAAAAAAACAGTAATTTTTCTAGAATATGTCCACAATACAAGTGGACAAGTTATACAAATTAGTATTATACTTTAATTTTATTACATTGCTTAAATTTGCAGGTTCCCTAAATTTAAGTAATACAAGAATACTACACATTCTTTTATTTATAGATACACAGGTGGGAAAACAATGTCTCATAAAAGTTTATAACAAGGATGTTGGCTGGTTTAAAACCCTGCAAACTGTTTTACTTCCTAGGTACAAACAAAAATTTAAAAATCTAAAAGAATTTTAAAAACATAAGATTAACAGCAATTATGTGCAGTAGCAGAAGCACTTCTAAATAAAATCTAATTTACTGGAAATGCAAGCAGTTAGAGGTTTGAAAAGTGAATTCTAGGCCAGGTGTGGTGGCCCATGCTTGTAATCCCAGCAGTTTGGGACGCTGAGTCAGATAGGCTGAGGATCATGAGTTCAAAGTTTGGTAGCAGAGATTGAAGGGGGTGGGGGAACTCTCCAACCATTGAGTCACATCCTCAGCCCTTTTTTATATTTATTTAAAGAAAGGGTTTCACTAATACACTTGGGGCCTCCCAAAGTTGCTGAGGCTAGCTTTGAACTCCCAATCCTCATGCCTCAACCTCCCCAGCTGCTGGGATTACAGGCAAGCACCACTGCAACCAGCGCTAGTGGTATTATTGAACTCATTTTCAGAAGCTCAGTTTTCTCAAATTTGCTTTCCTTTTAAAAATGTAAATGTTATTCAATCCAATGAACATGTAGAGAATCTGTGTATCAGTTTCAGGCTAAGGCACTGAAGATACAAAGAAAGAATGCAAGAAAAGAAAAAAAAATTATCTGGAAGTAAGTAAGCCTGAAACAGAGAACAACAAAATTATACACAATGTTTCAATTAATATTAGTAGATATTTTACCTAAGCCTTCTGGTAAAAGCCCAGAATGAGAAAACCAAAGAACCATTTGTACATATTGACAGATGAGCTGGGCAACCATATGCTTATTCTTTAAGTCCACCATTCCTGCAAAAAAAAAATTAACATTGATTTATTCAATTTATCAACCACAAATAAAAAATGAAGATATCTGCTAGTTTTAAAACCTAATTACTTGGTGACAATATATATGCTTTTAACAAACTCAGCTTGTAACTAATTGACTTTGCTCAAAATGGTATCAAGTTAATCTCCAAAATGCTAAAATAATAAAATCATTGACCTAATTTTTATGAAAACTAAGTTTATCATCATTTTATGCAAACTAATAGTTTATCATCAATAGAGGTTGTTCAAATCAGGCCTTGAAACTGGCCTTTTGTTTTAAATGGTAAAACCTGGGGGAAAAAAATTACAGTCACCTCTTTGGATAAAAATCTACATATAATTGCAAAATTGGAAATTCCCCTGAAGTATACTACCTTAACTATCATAAACCTTAACTCCAGATTGTTTTAGTATCGGCTAATGATACAATTAATAACATTTTGTAATTTTACATAAAAACTATGCTAGCATTTGAGAACTAATTTCCTTTAAACAATGGTCCACACAGGAAAACAGGAACTTTATTCCATTTTTAAGTAAATTTTAACAGTATAAAAACAAAGAACATACCTCTCTCAGTGATATCCTGTGCCTCTGTTGCAAAACAGCTTAAGACACTATTGAGGTTGCTAAGATGCAAATGGCACTGCTGGATAGACTGTATAGTTTGTGGATCAATGAAACGACATGAACCGTCAAATAATGGTATACCTTTCAAGGATAAAACAGAAGATTAGTTTCCACACAGTAATTATGAATGAATTAGAATCACAAATACAAATTTCCTCTAATTTCTATCACTCAAAAGAATTATTCTAAATGAGATTTAAAAGATAAGCTAGAAATGGCAAATAGCTTCAAGAAAGCTAGAATATGCTTTCAGTATAAAACCAGAAAGAGCTAGCAACAGTGGCACATGCCTATAACCCCAGCAACTCCAGAGGCTGAGGCAAGAGGATCACAAATTTGATCCTAGCCTCCCTCATCAACTTAGCGAGACACTGTCTAATATAAAATATAAAAAAGGCTGTGAACCTAGCTCAGTGGTTAGAGCACCTAATATGCTGAGAGGAAACAATGTAAAACAAAACAAAAAATCAGCCAGTGAGAATCTAAACTCAAATAACATCTAAAAGGTAGAGTTTATAAATATGAGGATTTACAAAACATGGCCAAATTAATCAAATTAATTTTTAATGTGACTAGATTGGACAATAATTTCTTAACTATGCTTCCAATACACTAAAGCATTTATTATGCCCTGTAGTTTGTTACACTTCACTAATAAGCAAAGTTCAAGTTTTCAATAACAGCTGAATTACCAAGTCCAAACCTTAAAATACAACATTATACTCAAACAAAATTAATAAGTTCTGACAAACATTTTCCTCTTAAAAAATAAATATATTTTTATAGTGATCTGAATTATCAGGCACTCTTCCACACTTCCACTATGTTAACTGGTTACTAAAATATTTAAAATTGAATAAGTTATACTCAATGTACGTGTATAATGTCAAAATACACTCTACTGTCATGTATATATCTAAAAACCAAATTTAAAAATAAATATTTAAAATTTTGTTCATATTTCTAGTTCCATAAATACAGCCTAAGTAAGAATACTATACAATCCATGTGTATTCAATTAATCTATATATAGGCTGAACACATTTATGGAAGGTGGTACTAATGGATTAAACCAAGGGCTTTGCACATAGAAGGCAAGCACTCTACCAATGAATAAATCCCCAACACTTTTAAATTTTATTTTAAGACCGGGTCTCCCTAACTTGCACATTCTGGCCTCAAACTTGCTATTCTCTACAAACATTATATCTCCCAAGTAGCTAGGCATGTGACTCTGGGCTCAGTTCATATCAATTAGTGTTGGTTTAAAAAAAAAAACTACGAAGAATAACTGTATGTCTTCCAAAGTCCATTTGGTCATTCATTGGGAAATATAATAAATGATCAAAACAGGTGACGTACATTCTAGCTTAAAATTTTCTTTCATTGATAGCATTTTCTTTCATTCCAGCTTAAAATTTTTTCATTGATACCAAAATCAAGTATCTCTAAAAACTAGTACTTTTTAAAATTTTTCATTTTTTTAAACTCAATTTTTTTCCCTGTGCTGAGAACTGAACACAAGCACTCTACCACCAAGCCACACTTCCAGTTAAATTACTAGTACTTTTAACATGATTTTTCTATTAACTCAACATGATGGACTTTGAATATTCACTGGCTATCTCAAAATATAGTCAAAGTATACAACAAACTTGAAAAAACCCAAGATTTTCAAAAAGATGATAAGGGTATGTGTTGGTGGGGGACAGGGGTGATGCATTGTGGCCTACCATTTAGCTTCTGCATATCCATGAATATTTTAAATAAAAAGTGAGGAAGTACAAGAATTTCTGAAGTTAACTAGCATATTATTCTCCTTACTCCATCATCAACATAATTCGTAAATTAAACTTAAAAGTAATATAGTTCTAAAACTTGCAATTTTGTGGCACATTAGCATGTTGCCACACTCTATTGCAAAAATTATTTTTCAACAGGGCACTGTGATGTGCACCTGTAGTCCCAGGTTGAAGTGGGAGGACCGTTTGAGCTGAAATGTTTGAGTCCAGCCTAGGCAATCCAACAATTCTGTCTCGAGAACTTTAAAAAAATAATTTAAAAATAGAAAAGACCTTGGAATTAGGGAGGAGAGTACACATGCAAATGTTTACTTCTGAGCTTCTCAAACCCTCACTTGTTCACTAATCCCCAAGATGAAAGTCACCCTACATGTCATTAGTAAGTACAAATTTAAAAAAAAAAAAAAAAAAAAATCAATGGATCCCATTATGGCAAATGTTGTTGTTTAGAATTCTCTGCTATCAAGTTTGGTGCATCTTTTAGCCTACTGGAATTGAGTCCTTTACAAACTGCCAACTCAGGATCAACAACTGCATTACCTAATCTGTGAAATCTTTACATTTTTAAGAATTTACAGCTTTACTATGATCAAACATTATTGAACTTAAAACTAATTGTCCTAAATCAAGACTTTTACTTACATAGCCTGTCAAATTCCTCTTTAGTGAAAACCACTTTATTCCATGTCCATTCAAGAACAAAGCGCAAATTAGCAGCAGAATTTGGTTGTTCTTATTTATACACATGAAAGGGAAAAAAAAAAAGAATTACAAACAGAAAACTAGTAACAGCAGAGAAATATGGCAAGTAATACCCTAACCAAGTTCAAAAAGTAAACACTGACATTAGTGTAGATAATTTATCCTGCTTAGTGCATCAATAGGGAACAAACTATTTTATTTATTAATGTTCCAAAAATGTAAAGCCTGAATCTAATGAGGAAAGATTAATAAACACCAACTGAAAGGCATTCTATAAAATAGGTCTATATATTTTTGTTAAAGACAAATTTCTTTTTTAAAAAATATTTTTAATTGGAGATGGACATAATACCTGTATTTCTTTATTTTTATGTGGTACTAAAGGTTGAACCCAGTGCTTCATATGTGGTAGGCAAGTGCTCTACCACTGAGCTATAACCCCAGCCCTCAAATTTCTATGTTAGATGAAGATATAGAAACTGTTGTCAGATTAAGGGAAATTAAAGACATGAAAAATTGGGTATGTAGCTCACTGGTAGAGCACTTGCCTAGCTGGCGCAAGACCATAAATTCAATCTCCAGCACCACGAAGAAACAAAAAGACGGCTCAATGTCAATGTTCTTGATGTTTTATAATCACAACGTGCATTTCTATGTGTCTTTGTTTTTAGAAGGAAATTTTTACTAAAATATGAATTAATAAGCATGATTCCAACCCTTATTTCAAATGGTTCAAAACAAAAGATAATGTGTGTGTGTAGAAAGTGATAGTTAGCCAGATGAATTATAAGTTAAAAAAAAGTGCATCCCAAAAGATGACAGGTTGAATGATTCCACTTAAACTGTTTCAATGACAATATTTTACAAATAGAAAATAGATTAGTGGTTGCCACAGGTTAGGGACGGGCAAATAGGAGGGATGGAAGCATAAAGCATCTGGTTGTGATACTGTACTAGAGGTTTGCCAGACTGCATCAACGGGGGGAGAAAAATGGAAAAAGGTACTCAAATTATGCCTTACAGCTGCATAATAATCAACAAATATCTCACAACTTAAAAAGAAAAAGTAAACTGATAGTTGATTTTAAATTACAAATGTTTTAATGGTTAAAAATCAAATATTACCTTCAGTTATCCAACTTCTGATACAACCAGTCAAAAGTCCCAGGGAACTTGTTTGAATTGCTGCTGACAATATACCTTCTAACTGTTCTTCCTAAATCATGAAAGAAAAGAAGGGAGGGGAAAATGAAAATATGAGGAACACTGAAAAATTGTTATGATCCACTAGGATAGCTATAATCACACAGCCAGAAAATGACAAGCACTGGTAAAGAGGTGGAAAAATTGGAATCCTCATCCACTGCTAGTGAAAATGAAAAATGCCAACAGTCTGGCAGTTCTTCAATATGTTAAACAATCCATGATTTCCATATAAAAACTTCAGGTGAAAGTTCACAACAGCATTATCCCATAAGAGCCGAAAGTAGGAAAAAACCCAAATGCCCATCAATTGAGGATTAAACAATATGTACAATACTGTAATGGTCATAAAATAAAGTACTAATATTAACTGTAACACTGATGAACCTTCTTTCATTTATCGAAATGAAAGACTACAAATCTTTTTACATGAAATATCTAGAATAGTAAATCCATAAAGATAGGAAAGTAGATGAGAGGTTCCCCAGGGTCAAGTGGAAAAGAGGAGAGATGAAAAGGAAAGAAGTGACTATTAATGGGTAATGTGGATTTTTTTTTAAAGAGATAATAAAAATTTTCTAAAATCAAATGTGGTGATGGCTGTATAACTCTAAAGGCTGAATTATGCACTTTAAATAACTAAACTGCTTAGTATATATATCTCAATAAAGCTGTTATTAAAAATGCAGGGTTCTAAGCCTCATTATGGTTTCAAAGCCAGTCTCAGCAACAGCGAGGCACTAAACAACTTAGCAAGACCCTGTCTCAAAATAAAAAATAAAAATGGTTTTGGGATACAGCTCAGGCTTAAGAGGCCCTGGGTTCAATCCTCGATACAAAAAATAGAAATTTCACAGAAAACCATAAATTTTTTTTAAATTTATTTTTAAAAAATATTTTTAGTTAGATGGACATAATACTTTTTGTTTATTTAGTTTTGTGTAGTGCTAGGGTCTCCCTCACACATGCTAGGCAAGAGCTCTACCACTTAGCCAACAACCCCAGCCCCAAAACATTTTTATTTTTTAATGGCTGAATAACATGTAATTTTTTCCTCGTTTTTCTTTAAAGAATAAATTGCTTTAAATTTAATAATGTACAATTACAAAACAAAAGGTTCAGTATTAAGTTCTCTAAAGTAAAAAACTCACATGGAGCTCTTAGAGCGCTCAAGTCCTTAATGGTAACAAATGGTTTCCAACAACAGTTCCCAGTCTGGAGCATTTTATAGAGAAAGTTATAGCCATTTTTTAATACTTTCGAGACAAGGTCTCACAAAGTTGCCTAGGTCACTAAGTTGCCTAGGCTGATCTCAAACTTGTGATGCTCCTGTTTCAGCCTCTTGAGTATCTGGGATTACAGTGGCATGTGCCAAGCTGCAGTCAGTTTTGATTCTTGCCCAAAGAATTCTATGAACAGGACCACTAGTGCAACAATCTCCTAAAGCTTTCTGGTGAAATAATTAGAACTACATGAAGCCATTTTAAGAAATTCTTACTTGTGAATAAAAGAATATGATAAGACTCATTATTTCTTCTTTCCATATCATTTTAACCAGACCTGATCTTAAGGAATTAATAAACAAGGACAAACAGAAGTCATCATGGGATAAGAAAGCTCAACAAAATTTCTGAAAAGCAATAATGAAGGTAACTGACCTGGTATTATGCAGTAAACTAAAGCCCCAGAGAGGAGGCTGTTAGAATCATATTAGGGCTAAGTACTTGAAGAAACCAAGTACAGAGGAAAACAGAGGGAAATGGTGGTCACAAATGGACTGAAAACAGAATATAGATAGTCTATCTAACCATTCTATTATTCTGAAGTCTGATGGATCCTTTTACACATGAACAAGCAACCTAAGTATATCAAACATTTGAAGCTATTCACCAACATCAAGACTCAAATAACAAAAATAATTTTAAAAGTTCTGAAAAAGTAAATAATATAGGGAATTTAATAAAATCACATAAATAAAATCACAGCGGCTTCGGAGGCCAAGAAAGGAGGATAGCAAGTTCAAAGGCAGCCTCAGCAACTTAGTGAGGTTATAATGCTGTCTCAACATCAAAAAAAAAAAAGAAAGGGGGACTGGGGATGTGGGTCAGTGGTTAAGCACCCCAGAGTTCAATCCCAGGTACCAAGAAAATAATTGAACATAGAAGAAATTTCATCCATAAAACAAGTACAGAATCCTATGGAAAGGGGATGACCCAAAAGAAGCTCACAGAAATTTTTAATGGAAGGCTAATTTTTAAAAAAAAATCAGTGAAAGGAAGACAATATAAAGAATTCTCCCAGAAGGTAGAACCAGAGGCAAGAGACACACAGAAAGTAAAAGTTTTCATTAGAAAATCAACTTGGAAAAGCCAACTAAGAGAATTCCATAATTTTTTTTTTTAAAATCAAAATGGAAACAAAAACAATAATGTCATGTGTGACAGACTGGGCAAGTTAAAAAAAAAAAAAAAAGGCCACTTGGGACCTTTGGGATAAACAAAACAAACAAACAAAATAAAGCCAATGGAGACCACTACATGAATATATAGTACTGCTTAAATTAGTACAAGCTGGGTGCAGTGGCACATGCCTATAATCCCAGCAGCTCGAGAGGCTGAGACAGGAGGATAGTGAGTTCAAAGCAAAAGCAAGGTGCTAAGCAACTCAGTGAGACCCTATCCCTAAATAAAATACAAAATAAGGCTTGGGGTGTGACTCAATGGTTGAATGCCCATGAGTTCAATCCTTGGTATGTCCCCACCCAAAAAATTAGTACAATAACCTAAAAGTAGAGAGAAGAGAGAAATCTGAAGTTAATGATTTGAATGTTTCTCTTTATTTCCATAAATATATTCAGTATTAAATTTCAACTGTGAACATTAAACCAATCATAAACAATATTTACATTTCATCTGATATTTAAAAGGCTCATTTTCTAGCAATTCATTAGGTTACATATCTGAAATTATTTAAATATTGAAACACTATTTGGTGAAAGTTATTTTTTAAAATACTTTTTAGTTGTAGATGGACACAATATCTTTATTTATTTTTTATATGTGATGCTAAAGATCAAAAACCCAGGACCCCACTAGTACTAGGCAAGTGTTCTACTGCTGAGCCACACATAACCCCAGCCACAAGAAAGAGTTATTAAAATATTTTTTTCTTTCTCCAAGGAAAAATGAGTGGAGAATTTATTTTTTTCTAATCATTTTACAAGAAAACAATGAGTTAAGACAAATGAATTATTACCATCACTGGGTAAAGTTGCTTTTGTTAAGATGCCTCCTGACTAGCGAAGTACACAGCTAAACGAACCTGGAGCTAAATTTTGTCCTATTTGGTCTTGGGAGTAGAACTTTCCAAAGAAAAAATCCAAGACCACAGTTACTGATTGTACATAGCAGCCACCATACTACTTTTATCTGCTTTTAAAAATTTTATCTAATAGAACTGTATTGTAATAGAAAGCTAATAAACATGTAATCATAGAAAGAAATAATATAGTTAAAAATCATCTCACTTGACTTAGATTGGAGGGCTGAGTATCAATAAGTCTTGGTGACAGAAGGCCAGCTATAAGACACCGATTATAACCATCAGGAATGACTTCATTAAGGGACTGTCCTGATTTCTTTAAAAAAGTCAAAGTCTGTAATAGATATTAAGACATCAATCAACATGCAAATCAATATGCAATGCAATCATTAAATTTAAGAATTAATACAATTACTCTATTTAATAAACCCAAGTAAAGCTAAAAAATACCTAATGGAAATTATAAAAAAACATAGATTGCAGAAAAAAGGAAATGGAATCTTTAACTCAACAATGCCTATTTGTTGCATTGTGCATAGTAGGCAAGCCCTCTACTAACTGACCTATATCCTCAGCCCAGCTCACATATTTTTTTTTAAACATTTATTTTTTTAGTTATAGGTGAACAGAATATCTTTATTTTATTTTTATGTGGTGCTGAGGATCAAACCCAGTGCCTCCTGCATGGCAGGGAGTGCTCTACCTCTGAGCCACAATCCCAGCCCCCTAGCTTACATATATTTTCTTGAAAGGTAACCCTCTTAATCTTCTCTAAAGCTAACAGATTTGGTAACAGATCTCAACAAACTTGATACACATACAAAAGCTTATTCCTCTGTGTCTTCAAATGAATGAGATCTAATATGAAGTATAAATATTGCATTTATTCACATATGGATGATTATTAATTAAAATATCTGTTACATCATGTTTCTTTGGAAAAGTATTTTTCTAAACATTATTTATATAAATATGCTGTCTTCATTTGTTTTCCCATGTCAGCACTGTGTCACTGTGCTACTTTTTTTACTCATTTAGCTCCTTTCTCAAAAGAACCAATAGGAATGATTTTTTTAAAGGATATGACAAGACACTCTTCTATTCATTCTTTTCATACACAGAAAGCTACTAAAAGCATCCCAATGCCTTCCTCTAGAAGGTTGTCATTAGTAATTCAGGGTATTTGAATGCTAACCTCAGAAACCTATTAGAAACTACCATTTCAAATGAAGTAATAATTTATATAGTTAAACAATAAAGTTTAAAACCATGAATTCCCTGTATTCTAAGATATGATCTCAAGCTAATTAAGAAAGTCTATGTTGCTAAGTTTCTACTTACCTCCTTCTGAAAGCCAGTACAAGTTATGTGAACAACTCCTGAGTTTAATAAACAAGTGGCATCTTAAAAAAAAAAGATTAAAAAAAAAAACATACTTAACAATTAAATCATCATATAGAATTAATTTTTTAAGTAAACTTCTCCAGGAGTTTCCATCCTGAGAATAACAATAACAAACTTTATCACTATAATATAATTCATCTTTTCTAGCAAATTAAAATAGTAATAATTTTGTTATAAACATGTATTAAATTTCTTATGTACTTTGATGGAATTAATCCCCCTAAATCACCCATGTTAAAAATGAGATATGAATAGAGGATAGTCTGTGTATAAAATATACTTACATACATCTGCATACTTTTCCATGTTACTTATCTCAAAGGTAAAATTAAGAAAATACATACCAAAATTAAAAGTACTTGGGTTAAAATACTGCTCAGGAGGTGGGTATGAAGGAGGAATTCCTCGAGTTAAACTTCTCTCATGTACTAATATATCCAAAATGTTGTGTGGAAAAGTTCTATTTACAACAGAATCCAATGACCACAATGCAAAATAAGAGCAATTATGTAGATATTCTCCAGATCTAAAAGAAAATTTTAAAACTATTAAATTATTGAAAAGCTATACACACAAATTCCCAAGAGAAAAAAGGAAAAGAGAAAATAATCTTACCTTAATGAATCTGGCATTTGCGCATGATACCAACGATTTATGTCAAAAAGTCCCAAATATATAGATGGCCTTTCCTGTCCATATATATTCACTTGCCAGGTAAAGACTGAAACACTAGTGTCAGGAGATAGAGCTGAAAGGAAAAAGAGATATTCTATCTCTAAAAATAATCTCAAAGTAAAATCACCTCATTAAAATTATGGCAAGATTTTCCATAAATTAAGGTTTAATTTACATTCCATTAGATTTGTGAAAACGTATTTCTATCATCTATGTGTAAATAGAGATCTGTTCATTTATATCTTGACTGTTTCTCTTTTTCAGGGAATTAAAAAAGTTCTCACATTAAAGTTCCATCCCAACTTCTTTTCAGTTAACCTTTTAGCAACTTTAAGATACTGGAAGTACAAAGGAGAAAATTATTTCAATGACCATTCTCCCATAGCTAGTACTAGAGAAGTTAATTTGCTACCTAAAATTGGTGCTCTTTGGGCATCAAAGATTCACTCTTTAGAGGAATGTTGGCTGAGAGCAACTGATGTAGCTAAATAATAAAGGGAAAAAAGACAAGTACCTAGACAGTGGCTATGCAATGACAACAGAGAAAGGGGCACCAAAAGGAGGAAAGTAAAGATCTGAGACAATAAAAAGAGAAAGTACCTGGTAAATTCTGTTTGGAGCATATATAATTGAATAGGAAAGTCAGATCACAAAAACAGATACGAGAATTAGGATAGAGAACATCTCTGGGGTGAACAAGCTCACTATGAGAAAGTCTCACTAAACACCACATACAACAAGATCCCTAAGCATTCCCAGAACTGGGTATGTGTATAATCTTATTTAATCTTTACAACTATACTTTTAAAAAAGTATAACTAATAGGTAAACAGGGCTTACAAACTGATAGGGATGGACTACAAACCAATGCTGAAATTTAAAAAAAAAATATATGCAACTTTACTATGTAAGGATATTTTGAGCCATATACAGAATCAAAAAATATACAAAGGCAATTAGTTAGAGACAACACTAAGACTAGAGATAATCTTTGATTTGAGAGTCAGACTAAAATATAAGAGTCCCCTCTTTAGCCTTATCTATTCAATTTTTCAGTTCTATACAGCAATTTGGAGGCAAGAAAATACCTACATACAGCCCTGAATAAACTCCATAATCAGTATTCTAAATTTTTTAAGTATAATGTGTAGAAACTAATACATATTGTAAATCTTATGTCAAGATTAGTCTTAAATTGAGACTTCACATGCTATAATTAGAGTATTTTTACTAACCTTCGCTCATGCTTTCTTCCCTGTCTCCATGAGATCGAAATTTCTCTATACTTTGGCACCCCAACAATTTGGTATTACTAGTATGTCCTCTCAAAGGAAATATTCCACCTGCCAGGTCCAGTGTATATCGTTCTTCACAGTACTCTAACCCCTGTAACATAAAAGATACACAAATTTTAATAAGATTCTAAAGCAAGAGTCTTTGTAAAATTAAACATCCAAAATTTAAAGATTTTTCACACAATACAACAAAAACCCGAAACCTAGGACCTTAGAGAGTAAGTCACTGAAAAAGACTTTATAATTTTATATACTACAAAACACAAATTAAAAACTAGATTTAAAGACTCAAAAATGATAATTAACAAATCTTTTAAAGTGGTACCAATATAGGAAACTCCATGTTCTATCAGTCGGAATATAACTATCAGAAGTATTCATGCCCTCTGACCACACCACACAGGGATTAATCTCCAGCACCACACACACACAAATAATATTCACATACATCCAGGCCAGCAAATCCATTTGTTTTCTCACTAAAATTCTTGCACTAGAATAACTCTTTTAAATTTTTTTTTGCTCATTAATTCTTTTAATAATCTGGTAAAAGGCCTGAGATTTTCCATAGAAAAATATGTATAACATTAAAATGCCACATATAATTCAGGTAGTAGTATATCAACTCCCTAAAAGCCATCTACAAACCCCTTGAGAAAGTTAGGAAAGCCTGTTCTAAAGGGTGGGCAAAATACATATATAAGCAGCACCCCAAAATTTTCTCAGGAAAATTCAGCCAGAAAAACAGGTAGTAATCTGAGACTCAATTATAAATGTCACTCACAATTTAGTGCTTGATGTTAGAGTAACAAAGACAAAATTATTTTTCCTGAGTACTAATTAGGCCTCAAATTTAAGTCTAGCCCAGTTCCCTCATTTTTAGAGAAAAATAATAAAGTACTACCTTCATAAAAAAGGATTATAATTTAGAGATCTCAAGGTCATTAATAATACTTTCTCACTATATTATAAATACAGTAACTTGAATACAAGAATAATTTTCAATGTCTTAAAACAAAGGCGTTTAAATTGGGGAAATAAAGAAAAAAATGGTAATGTTCTAATTTACATTATATTTACCTCATATAAGGTTTGTCCTGAGGCCAAACATTTTCTGTCACCAAAAGCCAGCTGAAGCAGATGCAAACTCAAAACATCCCCTTCACTAAAAGAACAAAAATTAATTCAGGAGGTAAACTAAAGATCCCTGGTACCAAACAAATATTTTGTTAAAATACTACCATCTCCATGTCTTTTTTTTTTTTTTTGTCTACAACAGTGAGTCCATGGGACAAAACTGTCACTGTAAACAGTAATCTATTTTTACTTTATATTGATTCCACTTATTAGGCTGATGTTGTCTGTACACTTTAGGGAATATGTATATTGCAGCTACTATATTCATTCCCAAGTGTTCGTCCCTAATAGCTATGTTTTAGTTAAAGACATATGACTCCTATCACCTCTAAATACTGGAGATTGATATTTAACACAAAAACCCAAACACTGACCATAGTTCAAGTATCTGGGAAGAGAAATTATTAAAAACAGGAAGTTAATCAAGATCATAGCAGTTACACTCCAAAATTGTTTTATTATCAAAGAAAGAACTAACCCCCCCCCAATAAAGAAACAACAATATTTGTACTGTTCTAGTACTGGAAATAAATAAGCTTAACCTATTAGAAATTAAACTGAAAGACTTCTACTAGCTAACCATGGAACAAAATTAGAGCTTGCAAGAGAGAGGAAAAGATTAACAAAATTAATCGTAGGCATATACCCTAAAAGGCAAGAAGAAGGATAAGAGAACAGAGGGTAAATAAAAAACCAGAGCGTTATCAAAATAGTATGGGGAAAAGGAAGGCCAGAAAAACCATCCAAGTTAATTACCTACTTATCTATATTGGCTTACTATTTGGAATAACATTTGATCAATTAAACACAATTTCTTTTTACTGCTATTCACAATTATTCCAACAATTAACATTTAAAATAATTTCAATTACCATTTCACTAATGGAAAGAATTGTTTTCACTAAAGAGAATATCTGTTTTATTCTTGACAAATATTTTTTAATCATCACACTAACCTATCTTGCGTAGACTGAACAGCCCACAAGTAACAGCAATTACGAGGATCATTCTCAGGTTCTTGAAAAGTAATAGCATACACAGGAATTCTTCCACCTTCTAACTGTGTATAATACCTAAAACAGACAAAAGGTTAGTACATTGCTGATTTAAGTTGTAGTTTTTAGAAAAGTAAGGTTCCTCATGTAAAAACTTGGGCTAAAACAATCACTGTTTATGAAATCTCCAAAATTAGTAACTTGGGAGGCATGACCATGTTGCCTTTAAAAATACACATGGCACAAGACCTCAACATTATGGCCACCCAATCAAGGTCACAAATAACATATCTGTAATAATAGCAATTTGGGAGGCTGAGGCAGGAGAATCTCAAGTTCTACACTAGCTTAGGCAACTTAATAAGACCCTATCTCAAAACAAAAAATTAAGGCTAGGAATGTAGCTCAGTGGTTGAGCGCCCTAGGTTCAATTCCTAGTATTACCCCCATCCCACCCCCAAACAAGCTTAATAAGCCAAAATGATCTGTCAAAGTCAGGTTTTCCAGGTAAGGTTTTGGAAGCAATTTCAAAATAAAACAAATCCCAAGTTGCTGTGATTATAGACTTGTGCCATGACACCCAGCTTAACAAAGATTTTTAAAAATCTATAATGCTAATCTGCAACCTCCCTTAATAGCAATTTTGCAGGGCTCCATGGCATAGGCCTGAAATCCCAGCAACTCAGGAGACTGAGGAAGGAGGATCATGAGTTCAAAGCCAGCCTCTTTAACAGCGAGGTATTAAGCATCTCAGATCCTGAATCTAAATAAAATGCTAAATAGGGCTGGGGATATGGCTCAGTAGTTAAGTGCACCCGAGTTCAATCCCTGGTACCAAAAGAAATATATATTATATATATAAATATATCACACACACAAGCAATTTTAATTCCACAGATATAAAAGTTTAAAATAAATTATATTCTGGGGATATTTTTGATGCCATATAAAATTTTAAGTGACAGATTTTATAATTTTGATTTGGGGTGGGGAGGACACAACTGGGAATTCAACCAGGGCCTCACACAAGCTAGGCAAGTGCTCAACTAAGTGTGCTATATAACCTGAGTCCTTGGAAATGCACTTCTGAAAAATTCATAATACAGAAATACATGGTTTATCCATATAGCCAAACTTTACTAGCAAACAAAACACCAGTCACCGTACTACTTTTTAAATACTGCAAAAAACAACCTCAAGTCAAGTGTTAAAACCATTCTCTATAATTTAAGGCAATGGAAATTTATTCATTATTACTCATTCACGTCTCTCACGCTTGTCTTCAAATAATAATTGAGTACAAAACATACTCAAAAAGAAACTACCAATAGTCATAAGGAAAAAAAGTTATACTTACTCTCTTTTCATACTCTTCATATTCCAAAGTGCAAGATAGCCGTCAGAAAAACCTACAGCAAGATGATTTGTCCTGTTAATATAACTCAGAGTAGAAACAGCTGTTCCTGAGGGGCTTACTAACTGGAAACAGAGATGACGTCCTTCTCTCATCACACTCTCTCTGATATGTGGTACTTCAGTTGGGACACCAGTTATAACTTCAAGGTCTAAAACCAAAAATAAAAACAATTAAGATTAAGCCAGGTACAGTGGTATCTCTTATCTGTAATCCTGGTGACCCAGGAAGGTGAGGCAGGAGGATCACAAGCTAGAGGCCAACCTGGGTTAAGTTCCCCTGAGCACAATCACCCATACCAAAAAAATAGAAAAGAAGAAAAAGAAACTGAAAAGCACAAAAGCAAATGAGTCATCCAGCATTAACTGAATTAAATGGAGTCAATTAAAATAAAAAAGATGACAAATCATGCTGAATTAGAAAATAACTACCTTTATTTAAATGCTGTAATTTTAAAATACATTTAGTTGTGTAATTTAAAAAATTTAATACATCTAAACTACTTTCAATTTCCTTGCCAATCATAAATAAAGCTGATTCTTGATTTAAATTTTAGAACTACACCTTCAATACTTTTCCTTGAAGGATTCCTATGTAGGATGAGCCCAGTTCATCTGCTGTCAGAAATCTAAAGAAGCTACTTAAGACTGAAAAACCTACAGTAGATGATTTGTCCTGTTAATATAACTGTTCCTGAGGGTAATATAAACCCTAGCATAAATCCAGATAACATAAAGGGGCTCTCATGAGCCAAGATAGTACATCCAAGCAATGAAAACAAATGAAACACTAAGTACCTTATATCTCATGAGCTCATGATACTCCCCCCAAAAAAAAGAAAAAGAAAAGGGGGGGGGGCAAAATGAAGAGGAAATCTACCCTGTCCACCTATAAAAGATCTTAATGAACTATCAGAAGTAACTGGAGACCAACTTCTTATTCTAAAAATTAGTATTTAATCAGTAAATATTTATCCTGCCTTTTCTGTACTTTCAGGGTAGCTTAAAGGCACTAGTTAATGAGAAAATTCCTCTTCAGATTATAGCAAAATTAAAGAATCATCAATTTGCAAAACATAGACATAATATTGCAGCTGCTAATCAAATGACAATTTCAATTAAAGAAACTATTTAAACTAGGGTTTTTTAACCCTGGCACTATAAAGATTTAGGGCCAGATAATTTTTTGCTGTAGAAGGCCATCCTGTACCTATAGGATATAAAGTAGCATCTGTGGTCTCTTAACTATAGTAGCTAGAAGCACCATCACATTCTAGTAGTAACAACCAAAAAAGGTTTCCTGACAAACATCTCCTAGAAAACAAAATTCACCCCTGGTTGAAAACTACTGATTTAAAGATTAAAAGGAAGGATCATATTGTCAATTTTTGTCCACCGTGACGAGGATACACCTAGGCATCATATACTTCCCAATATAATGCAATATGAAGCACTCAGCACCTCCAAAGTATCCTGACCAGAATCTTAAATGTTGATCTTCAATAAAAGCAAATTTACATTTGCAAAAAATACAAAATATACGGCTGAGGTTGTATCTCAACAGTAGAGTATTGCCTAACATGTGCAAGGCGCTGAGTTTGATTCTCAGCAAAAGTATTGTGTCCAACTACAACTAAATATATACATATATATTTTGAAAAATACAAAATATAAATAATGCAACATGAAACCACATAATTCCAAAATGAGGGGGCATTCCACAAATAATTAACTTCCTCATTAAGTCAATGATATTAAAAAGTAAACAAAAACAGCATATAAAGAGGATTTCTGGAGGCGGGGGATGTGGCTCAAGCAATCGCGCGCTCTTCTGGCATGCGTGTGGCCCCGGTTTGATCCTCAGCACCACATATAATGTTGTTTCTGCCGAAAACTAAAAAATAAATATTAAAATTATCAAAAAAAAATTAAGCTTAGTTAAATGTAAAACTGAGGAGAGTATTAAAAAAAAGGATTTCTGTGCATTCAAAGAAACTTGTTCAATGTAATTAATGTATGAATTTTGTTAAATCCAGGTTCAAACAACCCAAATATAAAAAGATGCTTTAGATAATCACAGTAAAATGATTATAGATTGAAAATAGTATATATCTAAGAATTTTATGTGTGGCGGTGGAGCTGGGGATCAAATCAGGGTCTTTGTACATGCTAGAATAGCGCTCTCTACTGAGCTACATCTCCAGGGCCCCTAAAGAATTACTGTTATTAGAAATGGTAGTAGCAATTTAGTTGTATGTCAAAGTTTTTTGCTATAAAATTAACACAGAGGGGCTGGGGTTGTGGCTCAGCGGTAGAGCGCTCGTCTCGCACGCACGGGACCCTGGGTTCGATCCTTAGCACCACGTAAAAAATAAATGAGTGAAATAAAGGTATTGTGAATAAATATTTTTTTAAAAAATAATAGAGGGAAAAGGAAATGAAAGAAAATAAACACAGTAAAATTTGAAAATTAGTTGAGCTGGGCATGGTGTGCATGCCTGTAATCCCAGAGACTAGGGAGGCTCAGGCAGGAAGATTGCAAGTTTGAGGTCAAGCATAGCAACTTAGCAAGACATTAAACAATTCAAGTGACACCCTGTCTCAAAATAATAAAAAGGCTCAGTTGCAAAGTATCCTGGGTTCAATTCCAGTATCCCCCCAACAAAAAAATTAGTTGAATTTGGATGATCCACACATGGGAATTCTTTTATTCAATCTACTTGAAGATGTCTATAATGCTTAATGAAAAACAAACAAACAAAAATTCTGGCCAATCTATTGATATAACTGTTTGCAGGAGCAGATTTCATTCTTGTTGTTACAAAGGAGGAAAAAGAGCCAAAGCACATTGTACTTAAACAGTTTCCTTTTCAATCTCTTCTGCTTCTCCTATTGCTTTTTAAAGCATACCAATCAAATTTTGTTAAAATAAATAGTTCATACAATATAGTATTATACTTATTCAAAAGAATACGGCAGACCCTAAATGTATTAATATGGAAAATGTATAAGAAATATTGAGTTGGGCAATATTGTAGTATATATTGGGAACTCCATTTTCTACGTTAGTATATTTCAGTGACATCTAAGTCTAAATGGCTATGTTAAAAAAATAATAATAATCGCTTCCTAATTCTCATTAAGAAAAGTTTTGGTCAGAATCCAGATAATTTCATTATAAAATTACCAGGTATACCTGAAAACTGACTTCTAAAATTAAAGATGTCCTAATGCTTTGAGCCTATAATGATAACATCTACAAAACACATCAACCTTAATTATTTGATTAATTTCCTATAAAGACTAGTCAAACCATTTCTAATATTCTAAAAATTTGGTTTTAGTTACTATTTGTTTTTGCTTATCAATTCCTTTCGTTAAAATTTCATTCAGGGGCTAGGTTTGTGGCTTAGTGGTAGAGCACTTGACTCACATGTATGGGGCACTGGGTTCAATCCTCAGCACCATATAAATAAAATTTAAATAAAGGTATTGTGTTCATGTACAGCTAAAAAAAAAAATTAAACTTTACCACAGTTCTAAAATAGAAATAGATACAAAAAAACTTTAAAAATCAAAGATTCTCAGGCTGGGGGTTTAGCTCAGTGGTAGAGCTTAGCAGATTTTTAAAAATAAAAATAAAGGACCTCAAAGTCAGATCAAATAGTTCTCAGGAAAGCTTACAGAATACACATTGTTTACTTTTAGGTCAGTTCTTGCTCATTACCAATATCAATCAAGTAAGAATCTCATACTTTAAAAAAACCAAAGGTACTTAAAAAAAGAGTAGATTTATAAATATAAGCATTTAAAGAAGAAAAATGGTCCCTCCTCCCTTTCACTGAATTTGAATAGCATTAGTTCTATTTTAAAATATTATTTTGTGAGAAAACTTTAAATTAATCTATTATTTCCTATAAAATTTTTTATTTATATCTTGGCCTTCCCAAAGAAACATAAAAAATATGCCAAAAACATACTGTCAGATCCCACCTGGCTAGATAACTATAAAGATAAAGATTTTATATCTTTATTAGCCCTTCTTCTGGCATTTAACAGATCTTACTCAAGTACATATATGAAAACAAATTAGTGCCCACCTTTTTCAAGGTCTACTTTTATGATATGAAAACAGAATAGGGCAACTCATACGAGAAGTTCTACAGTGCCTAGATGCACACAATAAAAATAAGACATATAATTTCTTTCCTTCCTCCTCCTGCCTTCCCTCCCCTTCCTTCATTCCTTTGGTACTGAGGATTAAACCCAAGGATACTCTACCACTGAGCTGTATCCCCAATTCATATTTTTTATTTTGAGACAGGGTCTCACTAAATTGCCAAGGCTGCCTTTGAACTTGTCATCTTCCTTCCTCAACCTTCTGAGTTACTGGGATTACAGTTGGGCCCTATTAAGTCAGGCTTATTTAAGCACTTTCTATATAAAAAATATGGGGGCATTTTAAATAACCAATCTATTGCATCAGAACATTCAGGTACTCCTAGTTTCAAGTAAAGAATGATTAATTACCTGATGCCTCTACTTCACTTTGACTACCCGACATGTCATCCAAACAAAGATCAATAAGAAGAATGTGTCCAACATCAGTTACCACTGCTGCCACACCAAAAAGCCATCGCAAACTTGGATGTAAATGTTGAGTGCTTGCACTGGCTCCACCATGATTAATTATAGGTTCAATAGCTGTTACCTAGAAAGCAGAATATATGATTGGCTTTTCTTCTACAAAGTTAAGAAAACACAACCAACAGCACAACAAACAAAATTTGAAGTTAAAGCTGATTATTGATTCACTACAGATTTAATCATTATCAAATAGAAAATCATAAATTTGCCAGTGATACTTGTGAATCTAAGTAATAACAAAAATCTTCAGATATATTAAGAATTGCACTATGTTTGAAAATATTAAAATCATGAAGCTGAATAACTGATGTTTACAAAGAGCTTGTTATGTGTCAGACATTGCATTAACTGGCTCATTTAAAGTTCACAATAATCCTCTGATACTGAACTATATGTAATTATCTATTGAAAGATGAAGTAACTGCAGTGCATTTAACCAACTTATAAAACATTTTAGCCAAGTTATATAAGCCATAAAAATCATTAAGTATAAAACTCATATTGTTCTCAGGTCAGTGGAGTGGTATACATCTGCAATCCCAGCGACTTGGGAGGCTGAGGCAAAATGATCCAAAGTTCAAAGCCAGCTCTGCAACTTAGTGAGGCCCTGAGCAACTTAGCAAGACTGTCTCAAAATTAAAAATTAAAAAAATAAAAATAAAAAGGACTGGAGATGTGGCTTAGTACTTAAGTGCCCCTGGGTTCAATCCCCAGAAACAGAAAAAAATAATAACAAATCATTCCAGAAAAGTTTACTGTCTAATCCTTTTTTTTTTTAAATATTATCCTTATTTTACTAATTTACATACAGTGCTGAGAATCGAACCCAGTGCCTCATACATGCTAGGGAAGTGCTCTACTACTGAGCCACAACTCCAGCCCTACTGTCTACTCTTATCAAACACGCAATTTTTTTATTTGGGGGTGGGTAACCAGGAATTGAATTCAGAGGCTCTTGACCACTAATCCACATCCCCAGCCTTATTGTGTATTTTTTTTAAAGACAGGGCCTCACTGAATTGCTTAGGGCATTGGTAAGTTGCTGAGGCTGGCTTTGAACTGGTGATCCTCCTGCCTCGGCCTCCCAAACCGCTAGGATTATAGGTATATGCCACAATAATTGGATTAAAAACCCAATTTTAAGTCCTGTTTAGACTAAAGAGGGACAACCTTCTCTAAATGGGTTATATTCTAATAGACCTCACACAAAGCTTTGGCAATGACTAGATCAATTATTTAAGAAACTTATCCTTAGCTACTTTATGGAGTCATATTTTTCCCCTTCATCTCATAAATCAAATTTCAAATATTTGTACTGAATTGCCCATCTGCCCGCTACATTGCTCAGACTGGCCTCAAACTCATGGACTCAAGCAATCCCAGTACCTGGGAACACAGCCATCTGCCACCACAGCCAGCTTATATTTTATTTTAATTCACAAAACTAATTAGGTATGATATATGATGATTAAGTGGTTATTTCTACTCTACTACTGATGAATGTCTCGGAGAAAGGAAATTCAGTATCAGTAGCTTATGTGTTAATTTCAAAGTATTTTTCAGGCTATAATTTATTTTTACAGATAAAAGCCTGGGTGTCTCTATCATTAGTACACAAAACATTACGAAATGTTTCTAATTGTAAAAGGTGTACTCTCACGAATTTTCTAATTAATGTAATGTTATCTATAAATATTGAAATAACTTGTTTCCATCATACCAGTAAAACAGAGTGCATTCCTCATACAAATACTGTATGAAGTGATTATCAGTGTTAACCTTATTTTAGAAGAGGCAATTAAAAACATTTAGAAGATTTTATACCCTAACCAAACTTCCTTTGACTAATATCTATCATTAACCCACATTTTTCTTTCTCTTGGAGTCCCCCCTTCTTATGACATATCAAGCATCTACTCAAATGAGCAACCAGCAACTTATTATTGTTGAACTTATTAACTCTTGTTCCTTCTCAATTACTGTCATCCAAATGGTCAATGAGTCCTATCCATTTTAATTCCGAATATATTTTGAATCTGTACCTTCATTCTATAATCCTATCATTTCCTTGGTTCAGTTCATCATTATTGACCTGAACTACATACAACAGTGTCCTTTTTTTTTTTCCTCATAATTCCATTCCTGACAATCCAAGGACCTTTTTACATGAGAATTCTGCTTAAAAGATAAAAATATATCATCAGACATTGTAAGGCCCCTAATTATGAACCAGGCCATTCAAAATCTGAATTTTCCAAACCATTCCACTCTTCTATGATTTTATATTTGTATATGTGTTTGTGTATTTATAAGTATATTCTTTCATCAGGTATATACAGAAAAGTAACAATAAACCTGCTGAACAAACAACCCAACATTTAAAGTACTTCTATAGGTTCCACTGGGTAAGCTTGTTGATGTATGGAAGGCATAAATATATTAGAATTAATAAATGGTGATTATAAATAACACTATTATTTAGCTATAATATTAAAATTTTAATTTTATATTTTCCATATTGCTCCAAGGTTACACTCTCACTTTAAAGAGAAAAAAAAATTAAGAATCTAACATTAGATATATTGAGGGCCCTTATAGAACACAACTGGAGATAAAAACAAGACACAAGTGATATTTTTCACATAAACAAGTATTAGAATATTATCATTCATAACTTTTTACTTCAAAATTTTCTAATACTAATTATAATTATAATTAAATATTAAGTTCCTTTGATAGTAAGAGCATCTTGAACTCTTTTATTTTGAAATTTTTATTGAAGAATAACACATTTACATAAAAGTACACTGATAAGTGTACAGTAGCAATGAACTCTCTCAAAGTAAACACATTCCTGTAAACATTCAATTTTGAAAACAGACTATCCAGGTATCTGAAACAGTACCTACCCTTCCAGGAAGAACAACTGCTTTAACCACTCTTGATACACCAAGGTCATAAAGACAAAGAACACTTCCTTCTGCTTCTTCCAATCCTATTAACAATCCACTTCTCTTTTGCCAAAAGAATTCTTTCATTGCAAGGACTACAGGAGGCTGTTGATTTACTCCACTGAATCTATATGCAGACAACCGCTCTCCTGTTACAGAGTTTACTACCTCAAGTTGTGGACCACAAGCCAAGCAAGCAAGTCCATTTTTCCCTAAGGGGGAACAAAAAGCAAATATATTTCTTATTTTAATATTGTGTGCATACAACAAAACTCAACAGCAGTTAGCTCTTTTACATATAAATATATAATACACAGCTCATTACACAAACCTTTATAAATCATCTCCAAATTGAAACCTAAGCATTTATAAAACAGAAAGGTCCTCAAAAACAGTAGAATTAATTGAACGCACTGTGCACTCACATGAACTGAGAAACAATATGGTAGAAAAGAAAGAACAAAACTTGTGAAACATAAAATAAGCAACTATGACTACATTAACAAGCATTCAGTAAAGGCACCATTCTGCGTGCCTTTACTAAATGCTTATTAATGTATCATGGTGCAAAAATACATTTTTGCATTTATTCTTCATCAAAGCTCAATACGGAGATAAGGCAACTAAAGTTTAATGTAGTTTAACTTGTACAAAGTCAGTTAATTTCAAGGTAAAACAGTTCTAAAGGAGATCAAGTCTAACTAAAACTTGTGTTTAAGTACTACATTACAACTTAAAAATTTTAAACTTGGAGTTATGGTGGTTATAAAATAATTCTATTCCTGAAGAAATGATAATATACTGGTTGGTAGGAATGGACAGAGAAAAATGGATTGACTGGAGATAGATATCATCTCAGATAATTAGCTTGTTGACTAACTAGATATGGAGAGAACCAAGAATGGACCCTGAATGTTCCTTTGAACAACTAAATGAATGGTGATAACTTTACACTAAATTTGAGATGCATCCTGATAGGTAGCTACACATATATTTTATATAGTAGTACAAATTTTAGTTTAAGAAAATAGCATGGTATAGAGAGGACCCAGAATGCCAGGGTTCAAAGTTCTTTTCTGCCATTTGGTATCTGATCAAGTTACTTCATCTATGTAATTCTCAGCTACAAAGAAAAATGGTTAAATAGAACACATTTCTATCCTACCTTTATAAAAAGTTGCTTTTGTTCTTTGGGTTTTTTGGTACTGGATATTGACCCAAGGGGGACTTTTTACCACTGAGCTATAACCCTAACCTTTTTTATATTTTGAAACAATGTCTTTCTAAACTGTTGAGGCTGGCCTTGAATTTAGAATCCTCCATACTTTGGTATGATTCTCTCCTGTATTACACAATCTGAAACCTACATACTAAGATCTTATTTATATTAGCAGAATTAGGAAATAAATCTTTCTAAAAATTTTTTTATCAACAAGGGATTATAATCAGATTTTTTCCACTCCTAAGACTGTTTAGGTTCTAATCTTCAAACTCATCACCAATAAAACTTTTACTGATTATTATATTATTTCTACTTTAAAAATACAGATATTTGATAACAGAAGCTACACACACACACACACACACACACACACACACACACACATATGGTTTAAGGAAAAATTAACCATAATCCGTCAATCACAGATTCACTGCTTATGTGTCCTGAAATATACAGTTGTTGAATATGGAGTTATAGTCATTATAATAATTTTAACTGGGCATGGTGGTGCACAACTATAATCCCAAGCTAAGAAGATTCCATGTTCAAGGACAGTCTCAGCAATTTAACAAGCCCTAAAAAAAAAAAAAAAAACTCAGTAAAACCTTGTCTCAAAATAAAAAATAAATAAATTAAAAGTCTGGGGTATGGCTCAGTGGGGTTAAGCATCCCTGGGTTCAATTCTTGGTACTAAAACAAAACAACAAGAGACTTTACTGTATGTCCCTTTTAAAAATCCTACATTAAGGAAACTACAATATTTATTTATCTGATAGGTCAAACAAATGAGTAAACTTTCAGCAACATTATTTTACCTGCAGCAAACTTTCCACGAAGCACAGATTCTAATATTATTTCATCTTCTCTAAGAGCTTGAATAGTCACCTCTGGGAACTGCAGGAGACCACTAGTCACTTGAGCTGTTAAGTCTCGCATACTTCCACTGTAAATATTTTTAAAAGATAACATTATTATGATACATTTATACTATTGTATAATATACTTAATTACTTCCAGGCAGAAATATAGCAAGTAAGCAAGCCATCACACAAAGTGAACAAGGTACAACTAAAACCTGATTGTAAAATATGTAATATTTGTACCTATGAGGTGTTCTCTCCTAAAATATATTTCCCAAATGGCCTTAGGAAAACAAAAAGTATTAAGCCACATATCCAAAGGATATATATTATTTCCTAGATTCTTTGAAAATTGGCTCAATGTAAATTATCTTATTTTCTAACCTAGTTTCAAAGAATATACATGCACATACACACACAAGAAAACGGTATCTTTTTAAATTATCTCTTTAGTAAAAAGAAAGAAACTCCCTGAAAAATGTCCAAACCCACAGAAATACGAGAAATTGAATTTGGTATGTCTTTTATTAGGTAGGAAAAAAAAGTATCTAAAATTATCTTTTGTTTCCAATATATGAGACTAGATTTCCTTCCTAGCTGACCTATACCAATATTTAAAAAAAAAAAAAAGCTAATCAAAAGTATCTTTTTCCTCACCCCTATTAAATTCCACAGGGCTACATATCATCTTATGTAAAACAAACACTTATTGAATGGGATAGTCATAAAACTGTCTACTTTGACCTTGGTTCTTAGTCTACATAGAAAAATAAATTGTTTTCAAACAAATTTGTGACCAGACTCTAACCTATGTTATCCAAAAATCCTCATATGAAAAATTTATTATTAAGTAATAACTCTCAGGTTGGTAGAACTCTAAGCAACTCACAGAAGAAAACAAATATCCTTTGAAATCTCAAGAAATTCTCAAAGACGAAAGATCCAGAGCCAGGCACAGTGGTACATGCCTATAATCCCAGAGACTCAAGAGGGTGAGATGAGAATCATCAAGTTCAAGAAAAATAGAATAGTTTTATTTCATTTATCTACAACTAAAATTTAAAAAAGAAAAAAGTCACAGTGCATACAGAGAGAATGTGGAATTCCCATAACACTTGAACATTTTGCAGGACCCAGAGCAATTTAGTGAGACCCTATCTCAATAAATAAATAAATAAATAAATAACAGGATTGGAATGTGCCTCAGTGGGAAAACACTTCTAGGTCCAGTCTTCATCCAAAAAAAAAAAAAAAAATCTAATCTAGTTGCTCAATAAATACACTGTCTACAGACAATAAAATAATTATATTTGGACACATACTAAGAAAATTTCTACAAAATATTCTGTATACAGGATCTCTTCTCAAATACTTAGGGCCTGGCTAAATTGCTAAGTCTGGACTAGAACCACAATCCTTCTGCCTCAGCCTCCTGAACAGCTGAGAATACAGATGAGTCAACACTGCCAAACTGAATACACAATGCTTGATTTCTTCTTAAGGTCTGTGTCCCCCAAGTAGCTATGTAATCTTTTAAAATTTGTACAAAATACTCATGTTGAGCCAGGGGCAGGCAGATGTCTGTAATCCCAGCTACTCAAGAGGCTGAATCCTCCCAGAGGAGAATAAAAAGTCCCAGGCCTGGCTCAGCACCTTAGTGAGGGCCTAACAAGTGAGACCTTGTTTCAGAAATAATAAAGGGGCAAGGGATGTAGCTAGGTGTAAAGGCCACCTGGGTTCAACCTCAATACCAAATAATAAAAAGAGTAATAAAATATTTTGTCTAGAGAACTAGTAACACTTCAGTACATTATTAAAAATTTGATATCAAAAGTCACTGTACAGCCGGGCGCAGTGGCGCACCCTTGTATTCCTATCGGCTCCGGAGGCTGAAGCAGGAGAATTGAGAGTCCAAAGCCAGCCTCACCAACAATAAGGCACTAAAACAACTCACGGAGTCCCTGTCTCTACATACAATACAAAATAGGGCTAGGAATGTGGCTCAGTGGTCGAAAGCTCCCTCAGTCCCTGCTCCTCCCGGCATCCAAAAGTCACTGTACATGGGGCTGGCAGTTGCAGATTGCTGGTGGGGGGCTTGCCAGGATGTATGAGGCACTGCCGTTCATCCCTCCGCAACACACAAAAATAGAATAGTTTTATTTCATTTATCTACCACTAAAATTTAAAAAAGAAAAAAGTCACAGTGCATACAGAGAGAATGTGGAATTCCCATAACACATAGCACACCTGTCCTCCCTGGTAAAATCCTCGAAACACTTAAACTTACCAGTAATTTCGACTCTCTCACAGACCCTTTGCCATCCAAGCTCACAAAAGACAGTTCTTAAAATTCACACACTAGAGGATATCAGGGGCAAACTCAAGTTCAGAGTTTCCAAAGTTCATCCGTTTTCTACTAAGAGCTCATACACTCACAACGGTTTCTCCAACTATTTAAAAAAACATGGCGGTCGGG